ATTTAGTATAAAGATACATATATATTATGTCAAAAGAATAGGTTTAGCGAGCTTCTTGTATCCATCGAAGAAAGTGCAGTGTGGTATTAGAGAATTCTCTCGGCCAAGTCATGAATGTGCCTATCTTATCTCATTTTCGCTATATAACTAACTGTTAAGCCCAACTTTGAATCAAATAATGTATATCTTGAATTTTTCAAAACCTTATTCGTTTCACACAAATGAATGAAATCTTAAATATTTTAAATTTAGTCATATAAATTATTTTTTCAGGTCATTTATTGTCAATCGCTTTTAACTACCAATTATTTTTGTCATCTTCTAGGATGCACTTGTTGCCTATCAATTACTAGTTTTTTTTCACCTTCTACTGACTTTCATATATATATTTTGAAGTGTAAATTGATTTTCTAGACATATCATAACTATTTCCTACGTAATAATAATCCATATTTGGGTCAAAAAACTTGATTCAAATGATGAGATGTTAAACTTGTTTTTCTTTTTGATTATGTTATAAAATTATAGTTTTACTTGAGAATAAATAGGCTTTCTTTTTGAGATTTGCTAAACCAAATTACATGTCACTTTTTTAATGACTTACTTATGATTTTCAATATATTTTATTGTAAAACTTATGTATAATGTGATCATTATTTATTTATTAATTATTTTATAAGATAGATGATAATGTTTTAACATATTTAATAAGTTTTTAATATAACTAGGTAATGTCCCGCGCATATGCGCGGGTTGTTATATATTTATTTAATTATTTTAATTTATCTATTACTTATAAAAGTAGATTAAATAAATTTTAATGCTTATGAAATTTTTACATGTTATTTATTTAAATCATACAATAGAAGCATACATCCATATCTTTTGAATTTATTCGTTGATTAATTGTTCAATTAATCAATTTTGATAGTAATTTTTTTAAGTACTTTTAAGTATTTTTGATAAAACAATAATATTGTTAATGATAAAAATAGGAATGATATTGGGAGAATTTAAAAAATACCCCTTTAAAAATACCACTTTTTAAATTTACCCCCTTTTCAAACTTTATCAAAACAACCACTAAAAATGCTGAAATTTATCCAAATATGTGTGTAAACTTATAAATATACACAAAAATTACCTTTATTTGTGTATAAAATTTTATTTATTTCAATGTCTTACAAATTGGTTTGAATATAACAAAAAATATTTTGTTAAAATAATTACATACTTTGAAAATAAAATAAATATACATGAATATGTGAGAAAGAAAAAACATATTCTTTTAAGGGCAGTATCTAGAAGTTCATTTCATAATTGCGTTGACAACTTTGTTTTTTAAATAAAGCAAAAGAAGGGGCACGTTAAGAATAAAAAATGTTCATTCATAAATATTGAATTCTTTTGACTCTCTAAGATCATCATTATTAAAATGCAGCGATACCAACAGAAAAATATCATTTGAAGGATAAAGATAAAATTGTAAGAAAGTTTTCTCAGTCTCACAAATCTAATATATCATAATATAGAAAAGGTAAAGAAAATAAATTTGTAAATTAAAATATATATATATACAATTAGAAGATTATAATCAATTTTCTACTCGAAAAATTTATTATAATCAATTTTCTACAATAGTTTATTTAGCTTTATTTTTTTATGGTGCGATGGTCAGAAATCAATATTTTTGAATCCCATCGATAAAGTAATTTCCTTATAGCCATAAAATATTATTATACATATGTATTATACATTTAATATTATAAAAAACAATGGAAAAATGAAGAAGTACATAAAATAAAGAAGAAATATAATTGAAAACAAAAGTTTTAACCAAATATATAATCAAGCTCTTATAATGATATTTTAATTGAGCTTTCAACCCATGCAAGAACATTAAAAATTAAACAAAGAAAATATTGAGAATATCAGATATGGTGGAGGAGGATGTAAAAATGAGAATCTATAGGATAAAATATGATGTAAGTTATAATTTTAAAATAATTAATTCAGAGGAGTTATAATTATATTTTATAGTGTGTTAATTGAAGTTAAATGGAGTAAACAAATAGTCAATTGAGAGGTTATATAATTTAAGTTACAATTTAATAGTAAAGTGTGGATTTCAAGTATGAATTAAAATATATGACTAAATGTGTTAGATATTTGGTTTAATTAAAAATAAATATTATAATTAAAAAATAAATGCTAAATGGACCAATAAGGAGAGAGTGAAACCTTAAAAATTTCCAAGAAATAATTTTATTTTTAATCTCTTTTTATATTCCTCTTAATTTAAGTTATATTTCTAGATTTAATTATATTTTTCATCCTTGTATTATATATAATAGATAGAAAATGGAATATCAAATTGTTTTTTAGATAGTAAATCAAGTATAAAAATCAAAGTTAAAACAAACTATAATGTTCTTTGTATTATTAAATGTTGAATCACAAACTAAATATAAGGATCATTATTCTTAAAAGAATTTCTTACAAATTGGTTTGATAATTATATAACAAAAAGTTTATTTTGTTAAAAAATTACATACTTTTGAAAATAAATTAAATATACATGAATATGTGAGAAAGAAACAAACATCCAAAGTAAAAGAATGAAGATGGTTTTTTTAGCTTGATTTTCTTATAACCATAAAATATTATTATACATATGTATTACATTTAAAAATATAAAAATCAATGAAGACATAAAGAAATACAAAAAACAAAAAATAAATAAAATGGAAAACAAAAGTTTAAACTAAATCATTAATCAAACTCTTACAATGATATTTTAAATGAGTTTTCACCCCATGCAAGAAATTTTTTAAAAAAAACAAAGAAAATAATGAAGATATGAGATATGGTAGAGAAGGATGTGAGAATGGCTATTTATATGATAGGAAGTGATGTAAGTTACATTTTTAAAATAATTAAATTAGAAGAGTTATAATTATAATTTATAGTGTGTTTAATTGGAATTCAATAAAGAAAACCAATAGTCTTTGGAAATTTATATAATTTTCAGTTTCATTTTAGTATTAAAGTGTGAAATAAATATTATATTTTAAAAAATAAATACAAAATGGAAAAATAAAGAGAGTGTAACCTTACTTTTATATATATGATTTTAAATAATTTTCCAGCAATAAGCCTTATAAAATTTGTTGTATGATATATAATTAAGTCCTTTCATTTTCTTTGCCATTTGATTATAACTTATAGTGTAATTAAATTTTGTATTGAATGATTGTTATAAAAATTTATTTATTTATTTATTTTGTTGAATGATATATGATTAAGTCTTTTCATTTTCTTTGCCATTTGATTATAATTTATAGTGTAATTAAATTTTGTATTGAATGATTGTCATAAACATTTATTTATTTATTTATTTTTAAAAAATTAAAGCGTTAAATATTTTTCCACCAATAAGGAGAGAGTGAAACCTTACTTTTATATATATGATTTTACGACAGTGTGACCTTTCAGATATCTTCCTCTTAAAGTATTTTAATTGAATTTAGTAATATTTTATTTTTCTTTAAGTTAAAATTTAATAATAAATAAAAGTATGTAATATATATTTCTTAAAAATAATGTTTCAGTTTCAATTTTATTTTTCTTATTTAACATTAAAAATAACAATTACAAAATTTTTATATTATTCTACCATGCATTTAAAATTTACTTCAATTCTAAAAATCATTAGCAACTTTAAAATTCTAAACTATAATTATTTTAATTTTGTTTCTTTAAAGAGTTATTCTAAAACTCATTAACAACTTTAAAATTCTAAAGTATGATTATTTTCATTTTTTTTCTTTTAAGAGTTTGAATCATACTATTATTACTAATACAATTTTCATAGTACTGGTTTTACATATTTAGTTTTAAAATTATTTAGTTATAACCATGAAAAGCAATTCTATGTTAAAATCATTTCAAACTCATATTTTTTATCTATAGTTTCTATTATTTATAAATAACATAATATGTATTCCCTCTGTTTTGATGTTTTAGATTTTTCACACATATTAAGATAAAATTTGTTTATGAATTAATTTATAATTATTTTTTGGTAGAAAGAGAAAACATAAACTATCCGCATATAGAGTGATATAGTGTTCTTCTGTTGTTGACATAGTCTTTAGTAAGGATGGTACTAGACATTTATCTGCTTGAGCTATGCTTTTGAATAATCTCCTTTTATTTGTTTTGATACCCGGCATATGGTGTTTCACCCCAAGATTAATTTAACGTTAAATTCTAATGGGTTATTCTTAGTCCACATTCATGGTTTAAACAGAGCAAGATGAGTTCATCCATGTATGGACATGAAACAGGTAGTTTCTCTGCTTCATTTTTTGTTAGTTGTTCTGCTACTTTATAATTAGTTGCTTCATAGTTTATGTTCTTGATTTGGTGGACAATGGGAGCTATGCTAGAGTCATATAGATTTAGAATTTATTGTATTTTTGACCATTGAAGGTTTGTTAAAATCCCATTTAGATTGTATCAACACATAACTATGGATTTGTATTATTCTGACCAGTTCTCTGAACTTGTTAAACTAACCTTCTTGGCTGATGACATCTTTATCGAATAATTTTTGTTTAAACAACCATATCCTTTGTAATTAATCTTTACATTTCATTTGCCTGAGTAAGATCGAGTCTTTTTATGATTGCCTTCACGTTTCATCAGAGCTTTGACTTTTTAGAAGTTTTCTGATACCTTTAAGAAACTTGGTGTAATCATTCAGATAGACCAGATGAACGGCCTGACTTTAAACAAGATTATTCACTCAGTTTTTATAATAAGAAGATGAGTTTTATGGGTTCTCCTGGCAGATTATGCTAGAGATCAAAAAAGAAACAAAGATTGGCTCACAATTATATCCTCTTACAAAGCTTTTTTCTTTTCTGATCTTAGTTGAAAGAAGCGAGACTTTGGTTAGATTGGCTGGGCCTTGTGCTTAGCTTTCATCTTCCATCATGTCTGCCTCTTCATCTTCTTCTCTATTGGCCCCTTGCCGACGGAGGTACGACGTTTTCCCAAGCTTCAGGGGTGAAGACGTCCGTCCAAAATTTCTCAGCCACTTGCTTGTTGAATTTAAGCGCAAGGGAATCAACAGTTTCGTAGATGATCAAATTACAAAGACGGAGTCCATCAGCCCTGAGCTTGTACAAGCTATCAGAGCTTCAAGGATTGGCATCATCATCTTCACGAAGAACTACGCTTCTTCAAGTTGGTGCTTAGATGAGTTGTTGGAGATTATGAAATGCAATATTCTTACAGGTCTAATGGTGATGCCAATTTTCTACGAAATAAATCCATCTGATATAAGAAATCAGAGTGGAGATTTTGGGAACGCTTTCGAGAGAACTTGTGAGGTGAAAAGGAAAACAGAGGAGCAGAAGCAGAAATGGAGGCAAGCTTTGACTGATGCTGCCAACAAAGCCGGCGTGCATTCACAAAAATGGTTAGTTCTCTCCACTAATGTTTCATCTACAGTTATCTGTTCATAGATGATACTGCTTATATCCGTGTGTGCATCCCGAAATTATACAAGAAAGGACATAGTTGTTCTAACATCTAAGGTTAAAAGTTAAAGCTTTCATGTCGATACTGCTAATTCATTTCCCTGTATGTGTATCAAAATTCTTGTCCAGAGTTTGATAAATGAATTAATTTTCTCCTGTCAGTGACAACGAAGCTGCTATGGTGTTAGAAATTGCTACAATTATTACTAACAAGTTGAACTTCACACCTTCAAGGGATTTCGTTCATTTAGTTGGAATGGAACCTCATATAGCAAAGATAATATCTTTGTTATGTATGGAATCCAATGAGGTGAGGGTTGTAGGGATTTGGGGCCCTGCAGGGATTGGTAAAACAACAATTGCTAGAGCATTATACGATCGAGTTTCCAGCGAATTTCAGCTTCGTGTTTTTATGGAGAATGTCAAGGGAAGCTATAGCAGAAATGAGCTTGACAGCTACAGCTCGAAGTTGCAGAAACAAGAACATTTTCTTTCTGAAATTTTCAACCTGAAGGATTTGAGGATACATCATTTAGGTGTGGCTGAGGAGAGGCTAAACTCCCAGAAAGTATTTATCGTTCTTGATGATGTTGATAAACTAGAGCAACTAGAAGCTTTAGCAAATGAACCACGATGGTTTGGTGGTGGAAGTAGAATTATCGTGACCACTGAGGACAAAGACCTTTTTAAGAGACATGGTATCATCCATTTTTATGAGGTAAATTTTCCATCTGCGTGTGAAGCTCTACAAATTTTTTCTCAATCTGCCTTCAAACAAAAGTCCCCTCCGGAAGGATTCATGGAGCTTGCAGTTGAAGTTACAAAAGTCACTAATCATCTTCCATTAGGACTCTGTGTCTTAGGCTCATCATTGCGAGGCAAAAGCAAAATTGAGTGGGCACATGAACTACCTAGCCTAAGAGCCAGTATTCATGGTGACATTGAGAAGATATTAAGAGTCGGCTACGATAGCTTAAGTAATGGTGACAAGTATAAAACTACATTTCTCCATATCGCATGCTTATTTGATGGTGAAGGAGAGGATCGGGTGATACAGCTTCTTGAAAACAGCATTCTTGACATTAAATATCAACTTGGTGTCCTTGTCGAAAGAGCTCTTATTTATACATCAAGTGACAGACGTATCATGATGCACCGTTTACTGCGACAAATGGGAAGAGAATTAGTACGTAGACAATCTGCTCATGAGCCTGGGAAACGTCAATTCCTTATCGATGCTCAGGAGATCTATGACGTTCTTGCTGATGAAACTGTAAGTATATATATGTAGTTTCGTATTGCTTTCTGAGTATGATTCAAGAAGGCCAAACTGTATAATTCATATCCTGATATATTGTTCTCAGGGTACAGGAAGTGTTTTGGGCATATCGTTCAACATGTCTGAAATAAGCGAGTTGTTCTTGAGTGAGAGAGTCTTCACCGAAATGAAAAACCTCCATTTTCTAAGATTTTATAAACAACTTTTCGATAAGGAGAGACTGCATTTACGCGAAGGTTTGGATTGCTTGCCCCTACCTCGTAAACTTAAGTTACTTCACTGGGAAGCATGCCCTATGAAACAGATGTCAAATGAGTTTCGTCCAGAATGTCTCGTTGAGATCAACATGACAAGAAGCAAACTGAAGAAGCTCTGGGACAGAGTCTCAGTAAGTTCTTTGACAAATTTCACATGCATAATGATTTTGTAAACAATTCTGACATTATGCTCCATGGATTTGCTTTCAGATGCCTGAAAGTCTCAAAAAGATTGATTTAAGTTATTCTACTAGCCTCGAAGAACTTCCTGACCTTTCAAAGGCAATAAATTTGGAGCATATAAATTTGCAGTGTTGCAGAAGTTTGCTCAAGCTTCCTGACTCTATCTGGAAACTACGTAAGTTGAGTTTCTTAGATCTTCACTCTTGCAAGAAGTTAGAGCCTCTTCCAGCAAACTACTCGTTGGACTCTCTAAAAATCCTCAATGTTGGCTGCTGTTTGAAATTTATAAATTTTCCAGAGATTTCTAGTACAATTGAAAATCTCAATGTGTCCTATAACCCGATACCGGCAGTGCCTCCATCAATTGAGGACTGGAATTGTCTTCACACATTGCAAATGACTGGTTGTGGAAGCATAACAGAATTCCCACTTGTTCCTAGTACTGTCTCCGTCTTAGATCTGGTAGCTACAGGAATTAAAGAAGTTCCTCCATGGATCTCGGATCTTTATGGGCTCAGAAAATTAACGATGGCATTCTGCACGGAGCTGCGAGAGATATCACCAAACATTTGTGAGTTGGAACAACTCAAATCACTTAATTTTGAAGGCTGCTACAATGTAAGAAAATTCCCTGCAGAAATTTTCCAGAGCTTTTGTACATGGGATGACTTGGAGTTAACATTGATCAACATTGGCGAGAACAGTTTGCCAGTTGATACATCGGAGAAACCCCAGGATTTCACATTAATCTTGTCTATGTCTGAAAATGACTTTGTCAGTATTCCAGATACCGTCGTACAGCAGGTGCAATCCCTTTCCCTTAGAGACTGCAGAAAGCTTGTGTCATTGCCAGAGCTTCCTGGCTCACTGTCGGAACTGCACGCAGATAATTGTGCGTCTCTTGAAAGATTATGCAAGTCTTCTCGCTCATCTCATGATCCAAAGCTCATTCTTCAGCTCATCAACTGCTCAAAATTGAATCAAGAAGCACGTGAACTAGTCATCGAGGAATGGGCTTGCGGGTACGCACTCCTACCTGGTAGTGAAGTGCCCGACTACTTTACTCACCAAGCTAGAGGAAGTTCTCTAATTATCCATGTAGACGAGAGGAATTTGTATGGATCCTTGAGATTCAAGGTTTGTGTCGTTCTCCCCCCGGGAGAAGAGCTCAGTGATGTGCCTTTTCGTCGTTTCCAAATATCATGTCGCGTAAAAGGAAAACATTCCACTACTCTGTATAAATGGCCAACGATACACGTGGATGAAACAGAAGATCGGCTTCTGGAGAACCATCTGTTTATACTCAACTCTTATTACACGCTAGAGGAAGACAACATCCCCGAGAGGGAGATACTTTTTGATTTCAGGTGCTTGGGGAGTATATTATATCCGGACAGCATATCCTCCAATATATTGGGATGTGGTGTACAACTCTTGGAACCTTGTTCCTGCAAATATGATTCAATGGCTCACCCTTTGTTATCGACTCTACCGCTCGAGGAGGAAGATGAAGGCAACAACAACAGCAATAAAAGAGAGCGGCCAAGTATTGCAAACGGACTAGAGAGGAAGAAAAAGAATCTGAGAATCAGCAACTGAGAAAGATGGGCCAAAATTTGAAGAGACCAACATGATGCTTTGTGTGTGTGTGTGTGTGTATTTTAATATTAATGTTGTGTGTGACTCTAATTTGGTTCCTTAACAACCTTGAATGAATTAGTAGATGTGTGGATGGTTATTTAATGTACGTGGTTGTGAGGGAAAGTGACAAAAGTTATAAGAAGAACGAAGTCTTTTGTCCTAATATAGAGGTAAATTTTGTCAACTTCAGGAGCTGGTTTTAGAAACGGATTGTGAACCTTTGTGATGTTGTCACACCATTTATGCATGTATGATGCGTTTCTAAGTGCTCGCCTTGGTTTGAACTCCTTAGCCACTATTGGTCCTTACCAATTGAGATCTTCTGGTCCCTTTGGACCGAGAATTACAGGAATCCGTGTTGAAATGTCCTCATGATCTTCCCTCGCAGCTCTAATCTGACAGTAACAAGCTTTCCTGAGACCTTGATATGAAAGTATATTTTGAGTTCTTTCACACTTGGAAACTCTCTGCATCCTGCTCTATCTTCAGTCATGTGGCAAAGATTGGTCTGATTTCCTTGGCAGATTCCAGAGTGCGCCTTTGTATGCTTGACTAATTCTGGTAGTATTTATATATATAGAGTGGTCGTCAATTTGCAGAAACATCCATCAAACCCAACCCAAAGGCCAAAGCAGAAATGGAAGAGACTAGGCAACTACATCCTGCTGCTTTATCTTATATAATAAGACAAGGTTTCTTCTAACTTTGCCTCACAAAGCGACATTTGGCGCTCTATATTCCTGACATGTGTCACTTTTATTAATTTCTAATTAACATTTTTAAATTATGTATTTGTGATATTGTGTTTGTAAGTTATAAGATATGTATTGTTTGTTTTTTAAAAAAGTGTCATTGTTGCAAAAAAATATTTTCCCTAATTTTAGTTTCAATTTAAAATTAAATATCATATAAGCTAAACATAAAATGAAGCAGTTAAATTTTTTTTCTTTGTATTCAAAGAAAATTGGTATGAGTTTTTTTCCTTAAGATTTAAAGTTCAAAAATCACATAAAAACTTCCTCCTCCTTTTAAAGTATTTTTCCTAAAGTTACTAATATAGGTAATAAATTATTTATAACATAGTTTCATAATTTTTGAAAACTAAGTTTATAATAGATAAAAGATACTTTTTTTTTACTTTAGCATGGTGAAATCTATGGTAAATAATGAAATTAGAGAAAGTTTGATTGTTTTTCAGTATAATAAATTAGTACGTCTAAAATATTTAGATAAAGTAACTATTTAACCAAAAAATATTCTATTATTTAATTTACTATTATTTAATTTAGAAAAAAAAATTATTTAATTTACTATTATTAAACAGTTGAGAGAGGAAACACAGTCTAATAGAATATAATTCATCAAATTTAATCAAAGAATAGATATCATATTATTCAGAAATCATATATATAAATAAAGTTTCACTCTCTTCTTATTGGTTCACTTGGCATGTAACTTAAAAAAAATATTATGTATTATCATATATATATATATATATATATATATTTCACAATTTAATATAAAACTGAAAAAACAATTAAACCACAAAACACATTTATTCATAAACATTAAAATCACACTTTAATATAAAAACTGAAATATATAAATTTGCATTAACTATATTTTACATTGAATTTTTCAGCCCACAATAAATTATAATTAATTCCCATAATCTTTTTTTGTGAAATTGTAACTCCATTCACTTCTCTTCCTATATATTCTCATTTTCTCAGTTACCATTCACTCATTCTCGCATCCTCTAATTCTCTATCTCAATTATTGTATAAAAAAATAAGCTTTGTGTTTTTTTTTTTGTATGAGTTTTAGAAAATAATTAAAATATTCTTTTACAAAAGCTCAATTGTAAAAATAAAAAAATAGAGACTATATGGTATACATCTTATGTTATTATAATTTTTGTTTTTTGAAACTTCATCTCTATTTTCTATCCATCTATCCATTTTCAAAAATACCTCTGTTTAAATATTAAAAATTATAAAATTTTATATAGTTTATAGGTACTTCTATATAATAACTACTACTGAGAGATTCGATACAAATATTTTGAAAAGTTTTAAATGGTTTTAAATTGTTTTTATAAGTTTTATAAGGTTTTTAAAATGTTTTTAAAAGGGTTTTTAAGGTTTTTAAAAGGTTTTTAAAAGTTTATACGATCATAGTACAATAGATGAACTTTACATTGACCACTATTTTTGTATTTGAACATACAAAGAAATCAACACTTTGGTAGATAAATTAGAGAACTTACATGGTACTAACATAATATATCTTCTTTCAAATTTTAATATTTTCCATTTCTTCACTAAAATTTTGTTTTTTTATTGTTTTCATTATTGTACTATAAATAAATTTCCAAGATGTTATTGTTACATTATTTTAATTTTCATTTAAATTGAGATATATTATTTTTTCTCGGAAATCGTGGTAGAGAGCAAAGCGGCTATGGTAAATTATTATGTAAAAAAAAAATATTTATAATGAATTTTAAATAATTTATGCAGTAGATAGCAATCTGCATAATACAAAATAATCATAAAACATAATACAAAAAATATTCTATGAGATAGTGCATAAAATGAAGAGAATTGCTTAATTGCTTCATTCAAATTGATTTCCAAAAAATATATTATAAATATTATAAATATGATATCAAATTTATCTCGCGCATCGCGCGGGTCTACTTCTAGTATTATTATATACAAAAGGATGTCGTTTGGCTCATCCGACTCTTCCTCACACCCTTTCCCCTAAACCCAGCAAAAACTCTAATAAGTCTAATTGCTTTACATGGGGGAAACAAGTATCCACTTCTTCTCGGGGTTTCCATTACCACTGCACCATCTGCCAAGTGGATTTCCATGAGGAATGTGTAAAAATTCCAAGAAAAATATTACATCCTTTTCACCTCCAACACCCTCTTTTTTTAACCTATGGAAAGCATGAAAGTGTCACAGACGGTAGCAATATAAGCGACCTAGGCCCTTGTGAAGCTCCTGCGCTCAACTCCGACTCCAGCACATCGGGTACTCCTGGTAAGTCTCGATGGGGTAACATATTTGATAACTGTACTTGGTGTGGGAATTACATACCAACACCAAGTTCACATCCAAGAATGACAGTTTTCTATCGGTGTTCTGTCTGTAACTTTTGTTTGGATACCATGTGCACACAAAGCAAACCACCTCTTACTATTGAAAACCCAAAAGGCCATCACTATTCACTCGCCCTTTTCCCCCGTCCACTCTTAGTTCCTTGTGATGCGTGTGGATTGGTCAATGCGTCTGAAGCAAGTTATGCTTGTTTCCAGTGTAATTATATGGTCCATCAACATTGTGTTGATTCACCACGCGTCATAAAGATCACGCGTCATCCTCATCGTCTCTCTTATTCTCCTTACCTTCCACCCCCAAAGTCATTATGTCGGGTCTGTTACAAGAGCGTCGACATTAAATACGGTCAATATTCTTGTAAAGACGAGGGTTGCTCTTACGTACTTCACACGAAATGTGCAACACATGTGATGACATGGGACGGAAAAGAACTCGAATGGGAACCAGAAGAAACCGGTGACACTGAAGATATTTCATCATTCAAGAAGGTAGGTGATGGTTTGATAGAACATTTTAGTCATGGACATCATCTAAAGCTCGAGAAGTATGATAGTGCACGAGACGCAAGGAAGCAATGCGAGGCGTGTGTCCTTCCTATCCACATGCATGATTTCTACAACTGTGTGCAATGTGAATTCTTTCTCCACGTTGTGTGTGCTGCTCTACCAAAGAAAGTGGATCATGCATTACACAATCATTCTATTATCCTCGACCCATCTCCCCTACCCAAAGACCGTCAACTGCAGTGTTCAGCATGTTCTCGAATATCCAGTGGTTTCAGGTATAGGTGCACTAAAAAAGATTGCCAGATTAATTGGTTCAAGATAGATGTTTGCTGCTTCTTAATTCCTGAGTATAGCATCAACAAAGTCCATGAACATCCTCTATTCATCGCTCCATTCAATTACGACTATGAGCCTTTTCGCTGCAATGGTTGTAAGAGAGGGCTTACCAAGAATCGTCTACAATGTAGTGCTCTCTGCGAGTTTTCCATTTGTTACGAATGCGTTACGATTCCAAATGAGTTACACTATAAATTCGATGAACATCCTCTCACTCTTTGCTATGGAGAAGACACGGACGGCAAGTATTGGTGTGAAGAATGCGAAAAGGAAGTGAATCCCGCAGAATGGTTTTACACGTGCAACAAATGTTGCATCGGAATTGCTTATTCGGATTCTACGTTTACCTGAAGCCTCGTTCTACTTTCAAATGTAATTTCCCAGACGTAGTGGAAGTTTTTGGAAATAAGAGTAGCACTCGACCTATTTGCAGTCGGTGTGAGGATCGCTGTCGGGGTTCCACTTACTTCAAAGTCGACGTGAGGACTCTTTGTTCTTGGTGTCTTTTAATAAGTCGATAGAAAGTGTGTTTTACCAGTTTATTCTATCTATGATGCATTGCATCTTTACTCTCTTTGATTACTAGCTTGCACCTTGTTGGGTTTTCTTCAGTTCCGACATTTTCTTTTGTGTTTGTTTAATTCCTCTGTTTTTTCTTGTTCTGTCCTAGTCCGATGGAGACTTTGTTATTCCGTTGGCCGCATAACAAAAGGTTAATAACTTGTGGACACACAAACCCAATAAAACAAATCTTGTGTTTGGTTTCCAACATTGAAATATGGGTATTTAGGGCCCAATAACTTCTCCATCTCCGTTCTAATTTTTTAAAATTCAATAACAACAAAACCCTAAACCCTAATTTTCTGCAATTTCCTTTTCGTCGAACCTAAAAGTAAGTCACTCCTTTCAGCTCTCGTTTCCTACTCCCTTTAATCATCAACATTGAGCTAGAGCGAACACGAAACACGATTTGCAAAGAGTTCCCTCACGTGTATCAAGTATTGCTCCATCTTCCTCTTTTGAATTTTTAACTCGAGTTTCTCTATGTGGTTTTTAGGCTCATTCTAAATTGGTCTGCTGATCATCGTTTCGATTTCTAATTGGCGTTTTCAAATTAGTCACGTCTTTTGATTTGAGCAATTATACATTCTGCCTTTTACATTGTCGGTCAGGTTTCATTGTTCGGCTTAAATTGCTCTGGATGATTAGTTTTACTACAATGCTTTCGGTTGAAATCATGTTACCCAGAAGGGTTAAATTGTCAACTTATCTTTGTGTTATCGCATATCTATGTTTTAGCAGAAAGCAATAATTCTGATTTTTTGTTCTCTCTTATTTTGGTGGTTGCAGAATCAGTTGGGGCAGCTAACATGGGTAAGCTGATATGTTTGTCTTAGTGATGCTTTTAGCTATTTGTCAGTTGGAGCTAGGATTTTAAAGAATCTCCTTTTATTTGGTTTTGATGCTCGGCAGGGGGCTCACGTCATGAAAAACGAAAAGAGGCTCGCTTGCAGAAGAATCAGAAAAAACATGAATCTTGGCTTCAGCGTCAGGTATGAGGCAATCTTTGTTTTATAACTACTGTTTAGTTTCCTGTTTAATGGTTTGTTGATGGATAATGTTGGTTTGCTGGATTTCAGAAGTCGCAAAAGGAGAATCGAGTATCATCATCAGTTCAGAACACTGGTGACGTGATCAAGTCTGAAGATTTTCACCAGATTAGTGATAGTGAGACTGAACATATGGAATTGAGCAGTCCTAGTGGTAACAAAGATGATGGAAAGCCTTTTATACATAATAAAGAAGAGGTTAGAGTTAAAGCAAAGGAGAAGAAGATGCAAAAATTACAGAGAATGAAAGATCTGAATAGACCAAAGAAGAAGACGAAATTTGAAGAGTTTCTTGAAATGGATACACCAGCTGTGATATCTGCTGACCAGGATGCTGAACTTGAGAGGAGGCTTGCAAAGAAGCTCAAGGTAAAGAAAGGTAAACTAAGGGGCTTGGATGATGGGATGAATGATTTGTTCGATGGACTTCCATCTGTACTTGATTCGATGGGATCTGAACTTGGGGATTCTCGTAAAAAACGTAAGAAAAAGAGATCTGAAGAAAACCAAAACAATGAGGTTGTTGATGATATGCAAGAAACTGAAGTTCTGGAGCATGAAGAAACTGATTTTCTTGATGAGGAAAGCGAAGAAGAGCCTCCAAGAAAAAGAGACCGGAAACAACTTAAGAAGAAGAAGAAGAAGTCAATTGATGAAGAACTAGACAGTGATCCCTTGGAAATCACAGATGATGGTGAGTCAGAGACTATTACACCGTCAAGCTTGGAGAACGTAGAACCTCAGTTGCATGAGTATAAGCCAGAGAGCAGCAGTAAGTATGTTGCTCCTCATTTGAGATCTCAGGCTAAAAGTGAATCTGAAGAACACACTAAGATGCGTACACGGATAAAAGGTATAGCTAAGAAAAGTTGTTTATCCTTTGTGTTTGTAAAGCTGTAATCTTTGTTTGATGTACTTGGTTTGTGTTACAGGTCTTCTTAATAAAATGGCCGAATCCAATGTAGAAACAATAACAGCAGAACTTGCCACAATCTATCGTGTAAGCTTAATATCCTTCGCAGTTTTTCCTCCAGTAGTTGCATGGTTGATATTTTATGATCATCATAATCTTCCTTGATTAAGTGGTGCTTCAACTCCTTTTTTTTTTGGTGCTTATATGTTATTTTTGCTTCGCTCTGTATTAATCCCTCTAAATTCTTGCTAATGCAGACTGTTGCGAGAAGTGTGTCCTCTCAGATTTTTTGTGAAGAGGTTTTGACAACTTATGCCAGAGGCAATGAACAGTTAAGATTTGTACAACTTTCTGAGTTTCCGCTAGCCCTATAATCATGTGTGCAACTGCTTGATTACATTGATGCCATATTACTCGATATATGTCTGAACAATTTTTTTTTCCTTGTTAAGGTACTCTGTATTTGCTTCCTTTATAGCTGGCATGGCGTGTCTAGTTGGAATGGATTTTAGTGCCAAGCTTATTGCATCACTTGCTAAATCTTTCGAGGTACGTTCCTGAGTTTTTTCTATATGAATTATTAGTTAAATTCTCAGTAATATCCAGTCATGTCCTCAAGATTTAATTTTCCATAATTATATTCCTTTCCACCATCTTTCTTGAAATATTGTTTTACCGACAAATCCTTAAATTTAATTTTCAGGATGAATATCAGAAAGAAGACAGTCTCTCTTTGAATGGAATTTCTCTCTTACTTTCTTATCTTTGTATGTTGGGAGTTTGTTCCAGGTAAAATTTTCTTCCACATTATATCAACTTCACAGTTTTGATTTATCTAGAACTGAATGAAGAATGCTGTTTACTTATCAGGTTGTTATTATCTAAACACACATGTTAGTCAGAATCTTGATGAGTGTTTGTCGTATATTATGGGTTTATATTTTTTTTGACAGATATGTTAAATATATTTTTACCCAAGCACCCAATGCAATCTCTAGTACTCTCATTGTCTCTCTTTATTTGTTCTGCAGTGATCTTATCTTTGATTTCTTAATGACACTGGGGAAACGGCTGACTAAAGTTGATGCTTCCATTATCACAACTGTTTTAGATTGTAAGTTTTATTACTATTATTACTATTATTATTAGTTTTTAATGACAGCTTTTGGTGTTTTGAGATGCTTATGTTCCCTCCTTTTGTTCTTGATTATACTCTTGACTAGGCTGTGGAATGAAAATAAGAAGCGATGATCCTCTGGCTATGAAAAAATTCATCATCAGCATCCAGAACAAGGCAAATGAAATAAAAACTTCCTTGGAAGGCCAGACACAGATGAAAAGCATGATGGTATGGATTCTATGAAAGATTGTTTTCTTCCAGAAAACGTTCTACTATGATTTTCAGAAGTCATTTCTTACAATGAATTTACAGATGGAAAAGATGCTTGAAACCATTTCTGCAATAAAGAACAACAAGTTGAGAACCAAAGAGGATTCCGTCCAGAACACGAGGGTAAAGAAGTGGCTTCAGAAGGTATTGTTTCAGCTCTCTTTTCCTCCAAATGATATTTTATGGATACCATCATGACAATCATAAATATGTATGCTTCTGCTTTACTGTCGCTTTTGGATGAATAAGTTTACATAAAATGCTCTTAGCTTGTTAGCATTTTCTTATAATTTGCACAGTTGAGAGTGGAGGAAGTATTATTAAGAGGGCTAACATGGAGCAAGCTGCTTGACCCTGAGAAGAAGGGTCAGTGGTGGTTATCTGGCGATTTGGTGGTTAAGACTAACTCCGTTGAAGATGTAGCAGAAACAATGGATGCAGAGGTTGTTGAGGCCCAGAAGATGTTAAAGCTAGCTGAGGCACAGAGGATGAATACGGATTCCAGAAAAGCTATATTTTGTGTGATCATGAGTAGTGAAGACTACATAGATGCATTTGAGAAACTTCTTAGATTGGATCTGCCAGGAAAGCAGGACAGAGAGATCATGAGGGTTCTAGTTGAATGCTGTTTACAGGAGAAAGTATTTAACAAGTACTACACAGTTCTTGCTTCAAAGTTGTGCGAGCATGACAAGAATCATAAGTTTACATTACAGGTACTTTTCTACTATCTTATTCAATAGCTAAAGTGGACTATGTTACGATTTGGTTTTCTCTACTCATCTAGTGCTTATACCTTGATCACAATTCTCCTGCAGTATTGTATTTGGGACCATTTCAAAGAACTAGAGTCAATGTCACTCCAGAGATCGATGCATCTGGCGAAATTCGTGACAGAGATTATTGTATCCTTCAATCTTTCTCTTGCGGTTCTCAAATCGGTGGACTTGGCAAATCCAGCGGAGTTAACTCCAAAAAGAATCATGCACTTTCGAATGCTGTTTGAGGCCATCTTTGAGCACCCCGAGAACCTAGTTTGGAATTTGTTCACTCGCATAGCCTTGAATCCGGACTATGAAGGTCTACGGGATGGAATCAAATTCTTTGTGAAGGAATATGTTGTGAAAAACAACAAGGCAATCAATGGGAAATTCAGGAAAGCCAAAGAAGCTCTTAACAACGCAGAAGGATTGCTCATGTGAGTCTGATGCCATAAAAAGGCCATAGCAATTTTGAAGAGTACAAACTCTTATATTATGATGTCATAGCATCTGTACTTTGTACACTCTTTCTTTGGACAGAAACTTTTGTGTAGCTTACGTTAATTAAAGTTTCTTAATATTATTCACCACCTTTGGCAAAAGATGAAAGGTTGATGTTCTCTTACAATAATTGAGTTTATATACTAAACTGGTTGAATTCTATAGAAGCAAGAGAAAAAATATTGAAAACTTCAAAAGATTATGCTATGTATTTATGTACTCGGCTGCAAATCTATATATCATTCAGTGACAGTGAATGCTTCTTTCTTTAATCATTATAATACTACGATAAGGCCTTTCTCCAAAAGCAGAAGAAATCTTACGAGCCAAAGTGGTGGACCATGGTGGGGGGCCATGAGACTGCAACAGAACATCAGCCACCACTCTGTGTGTGGGGGCAATGAAGATTTTGCCTCTTAGAAACAAAAATCTTGAAACAAGAGCCACATAGAAATACAAACTGGCCTACTTAAAGAGCAGGCTACACTGATTGCGTTGGATAAAAAGTAAAACATATCCATGCGCCCAAAATGACTGACTTCAGGTGAACGGAGAAAATTTGTGGACTGTGACGTTAAACGTAGCAGCAATCAAAGTGGGTGTTTGCTTCCAACTAAGGTTAGATTAGTTGTTTCTTCTGATCCATGACTCAGTAGAGTGTAGTATAAAGTAGGAAGACGAAAGCAAAAATATTTGTATAAGCATCAATCCTTTATTCCTTTTAGAAAAAAAGACATTCCATCAGAGAAATATAGGAGACAAAAAAAGAACAATCACAAACATTGCAGCAAATCCAAAGGGATGCTATACTCATCTCTCTCTCTCAACGAGAAGGAAAACCATATGCATCATATCTAAACTTTCGTCTAAAATATTCTTTTTAAGAAAGTTATTAAAACCAAACAAAACACAACCATTATAGAGTAAAAAAAAAAACGTTCTCCTCATTCAAATCAAACTTTTCTTCACTTGGCACTGGCGAGCTGGGAACGGATAAGCTTGGCGGCATCAACCATGTTCTTGAGGGCGGGTTTAACCTCGTGGTACTTACGGGTCTTAAGACCACAGTCGGGGTTAACCCAAAGGATGTTCTGCTCTAGGACAGCAAGCATCTTGTTCACCCTGTCTGCGATTTCCTCAGAAGATGGTATTCTTGGAGAGTGGATGTCGTAGACTCCTGGACCAATTCCTGCACCGTACTTCACTCCCTCACGGAACACAGAGAGAAGCTTCTCATCAGATCGGGAGTTCTCAATTGTGATAACATCAGCATCCATGTCGATGATGGAGTGTATGATGTCATTGAAGTGGGAGTAGCACATGTGAGTGTGAATCTGCAAAAAAAAAAACCCACCAAAAACATAAGTTATTAGCAACGATGAAAGCGTTACACTACACGAGAGAGACTAGGTTTGTTGTTTTGTGAAGCAAACCTGGGTGCTGTCTTGGACACCACAGTTGGTGATTCTGAAGGAGTGGACAGCCCAGTCCAAGTAGAAAGCATGCTCGGATTTCCTGAGTGGTAGTCCTTCTCTAAGTGCAGCCTCATCAATCTGAATGACACCGATTCCACCCTTCTCAAGATCCTCGACTTCGTCCTTGATGGCCAAAGCAATCTGGTAACAGGTTTCATGCCTACAAAGTTTCCAAGCATGTCTTAGCCATTTTCTTCTCTATTAATTGGTAGCTATGCTTGTTTTAGATTATGGTAATTTTATGTACCTGGGCTGATCGTTTCTGACAAAGGACCAGTTAAGAATGGTGACTGGGCCGGTAAGCATACCCTTCATTGGGCGAGAGGTCATGCTCTGAGCCATTGCAGACCAGAAGACAGTCATTGCCTTGGGACGGCTCACATCACCGTAGATAACTGGTGGCTTGACACAGCGAGATCCATAAGATTGTACCCATCCGTTTGCAGTGAAGGCAAATCCAGACAACTGCTCCCCAAAGTACTCAACCATATCGTTCCTCTACAATTTGTGAAAACATGTCGCATCAGAAACAGTAAGGTCTACAAGATAACATAATTTTTTTTTGAAGAATCTCACCTCTGGCTCTCCGTGGACAAGAACATCGATGTCAAGTTCCTCTTGGAGGTCAACAACTTTCTTGATCTCTTCCTTCATGGCCTTAACGTAGTCCTCCTCAGAAACCCTAATAAACAAAAAATTAGAGAAACTATTAGCATCAACAACAATATAAGGATGTGTGACACATATGAATAAGAACTGAATTTAGGAGACTAACTTCTTTGCCTTGTACTCACGGCGAACTCTCCTGAGCTCTACGGTCTGTGGGAAAGATCCAATGGTTGTGGTTGGCAGGATTGGGAGGTTGAGCTTCTTCTGCTGAGCATCTAGTCTAGCACTAACATTAGTTGCACGACGGTGGTCAGATCCCTTCAAAGCAGCAGCCTGAAATAAAAGAATCTCAATCAATCTAAGATTTTTTTTTTTTTTTAAATCATTGAATGAGAGCAGTGTGTAGGTTTGACATCAAACTTACAGCCTTCTGAACACCCTCGTTGGTGACTCTTGGGGAAGACCTCCTTGAAGCCAAAGCTGCAGCATTGGCAGAGAAAAGGGCCTGAAAGAAGATAAATATTAGATTTCTAGTGTTTTCAAAATAATTTCTACAGATGATTCAAGGGTCCACTGCTAGAGAAGCATGCGGGTGCAAATAATACCTCATCCTTCTGACCAGCCAAAGCCTTGGCCAATGCATTCACTTCAATGACCTTCTGGGCAGCAAACGCCATCCATGACTTGATTTCATCATCAAGCTTGGTCTCATTGATAAGATCAACAGCGGTGTGGAGAAGGGAGCAAGAGGTTGAGACCACAAGCTTGTCTGCATAAATACAAAAAGATATCAGATATGCATTTCAATTATATGTTTCAAGTAATTCCCAATATTGTCAGGTAAAACGCAAATGATTCTGGACAAACATATTACCTTTACCAACAATGCCCTCAAGTGCCTGCAAGGTGCTTAGAGACGCAGCAAAGTCATTGGCCCAGATGTTCCTTCCATCAACAACACCAGCAAAGAGGTATTTTCCCTCTGGGAAACCAGCCTTGACCAAATCAAGGGTCTTGGTGCCACGAACCAAATCAAACCCGAAGGCAGTCACACCCTTCAACGATGTTAGGGTCTTGTATGCCTCAGCAGGGATATCAGCGAAGTAGGTCTCCACAAGAACATTCAAACCAGAAAGAGTTGATTCAAGCTCAGCGTAGGCACCGGTAAAGGCCTGAAGCTTGTGGCCCTCAAGATCCATAACAAGGACAGGCTCGTCAAGCTGAATCCAGGTGGCACCAGCTGCCTTAAGCTCAGAAATCACTTCCCTGTACACAAATTAAAGTCATCATATCAATGTAATGTCAGAGGATCATTCATAAAATCAATAATATGGATCCCATAATAAAAAGTGATTTCTTACTTGTAGACAGGGAGGATTTTTGGTAGAAGGGAAAGGAGATCAAAGGACTTGTCAACACCCTTAGCAGCCTTGGAAAGCAACAAGTAAGAGACTGGACCAACAAGTACAGGGACGGTGTCAACACCAAGCTGCATAAAAATCAAGTATAACAGATCAGAACTTATAAAAAAGCAGGAAAAGAAAAAAATACTTTAGGTATACATAAGACTATCAAAAAATCAAATGAATTTTTAACAGCTTTTATATCAAGTGAATATGCAACTTGAGTATATTCAGAACATATCAGGATCCTCAGTGAAACACCACTCAATGAATCTAAGCACAGACACTAATCCTCAAAGCCTATGAACTCTAATCTCTAATAATTACTCATCTAGCCGACAGTCATCTCCTACGAAATAGATAATAGTAAAGAATGATACGTACTGCCTTGGCCTCCTTGTACTCATTGACGGCCTTGTGGGAAGCGTAAGAGAAGTTGACCTCAGGGCCCAACTCAGGGACGATGTAATGGCTGGATCAACAAAGGATTATTACATTAGTAGACAACACTAGTCAAAAAAAGACAATGTCAATGAAAGGGAGCACAAGAGAGCAGCGGTCAGGTGGAGACTCACTAGTTGGTGTCAAACCACTTGGTCATCTCCATGGCGGGAACAGAGGCGTTACCTCTGGCCATGGAGAAGTAAACATCAAGGCCGATCTCACCACTGGTGTATCCGTATCTTGGTGGAACAGCACCGAGCATGGCGGTGGTGTCAAGAACCTGGTCGTAGTGAGCGAAGGTGTTGCTAGGGATGAACTTAGTCCCGGCCGCAGACATCTGTTTCCAGATGCTAGACCTGAGATCAGCAGAGACCTTCTGAAGATCCTCAGCGGTGCTCTTGCCATCCCAGAAAGATTCCAACGCAAACTTGAGCTCTCTCTTAGGGCCCATACGTGGGTATCCAACAATGTGTGAAGCCATTTTGATTTTCTTTTACTGCATTTACACACCACAAAGAAAAAAAAAACAAATCAATCTCTAAAATCATATAAAAATACGTTTTAAGTTGTTGGTATTATTAAATGATTAATAAACAGACTCCGAGAAAAGCCGTAAAGCATCAACAAAACAAATTAGAATTACAAATTCACGTGTTGAAAAGGTTTATGCAGCTTTTTTGTCGTTTCAATGATTGAGATTAAACAAACAAACATGAGTCCACACACTTCACAGAGTAGGATCGAAAACTTTATCAGATCAGATTCACATGCGACATTTTAACGAAACGAGATGACTCAAAGCAGATCTAACTAATAAGAACAACCAAAAACACGAATCATTTTCAAAAAAGAAGAGAATAGATCGTAATCAGATCCAGATCTACAAATCGAAGAACATGAAAAAGCCAGATCTGAGTCCAATGAACTCACTCACCGGTTAGATCTCGGCAAAAAAATACAAAAAAAAAACAACAAGAGGAAGGAAAGAGATGGCGGAATCAGGAAACTAAAAGGCAAAGAAGAGGGGAAGGGAGGATAAATAAGGGAGACGTAGGGAAGACAAAGAAACTCGGAGACGTACCTCGCGGAGGAAGAATCGGAGAGGAGGAAGAGAAAAGGGTTGGCTAAGAGGAGAAGGCGAAAGAGAGAGCGAGGAAGAAGAGTGGGCTGTGTGACTTTATTTATAGCCAAATCACTCACTCTCTCTAAAATGATAGATCGTTGGCCTCTCTCTCTCTCTGTTTTTAATTATTATTATTAAAAAAAAAATGTGTAGATCTGGTGGTGGGATATTTTCGGTATTTTTATTATTTTTTATCTATTTGCTTTATGTGTATTTTTTGCTGAAATTGATGCAATTTTCCAACAAAGTTGAGTATTCCTGTTTTCTTTCTGTATTGTACAGTATTTCTCACAATTGTAGACAAAATAAATTGTGGCTAGTATTAGTAGTAAGAAACTTTATTATATAAAAAGACCTGAAATCAATATTGTCATCTTTTATAGAATAATTCAAATTACCAGATGCCCTCCTAATTTTTTTCTACATATTATAATTTATGAAAAAATTATAACTACTCTTAAAAGAAGTTTTTTATTTGGGTATATATTTTTCAATATTTTTAGCTCAATTGTTTAAAAGTAAAGATTTATATAAACTAAAAACTAGTTTCCCGGGTTTGATCAAAAAAAAAATAATATAAACTAAAAACTATGAGGAATTGAAGAAAATATCTTAACTGAAAATGTAGTTTTGAAATTGATTCGGAGGGTTAAAAATGAATAATGAGATGATTAATGTATAAATAATTAGAATAAAGAGGATTAAAACGTGAAGAGGAGTTGGTGTACGTGGGGAGGATTAGTAGTGGGTGGCAGTGGGACCCACGGAGGTTGGTGAGGATTCACCCATTTATTATATTATTTTCACAGTTTCAAGTAATACGACGACGTTTCTCAGTGTCTGTAATAAGACGAAGAGCAAGGGCATGTTCCGCAGCGTTTTGAGTAACCTACCTAGTTTTGGAGGAACGATAACATGATTAGATACAAAATATATTTTCTCAATGATTCGTTTGTGTTAATAAAATATACAAAAATCGGAATATTGTGCTGGTAGCCAGATCAGTCACACACACACAAGTTTCCTTTTTTTTTTTTTACTTGAACCGATGGAGTTGGACGATCTTGTCTGGCCAATTAGTCCACTGTTTTGTCAGATGGGTCGTCTAGTTTGGTGTAGTAAAATCACTTTTTGTACACACCTTTTTTGGTAAAATTAGATTAGGTAAAGAAACTGAGATTTATGGACCCATGGTGTGTATTTATATTATGGTTTAAGATTCATTATAAGACTTAGCTAGAAGTAAGAGTATACGCGATCGATGAATGGTCTTAATCTTTTTTTTTTTTTTTTTTTTCGTTTTGCTGATAAAATTTGGCTACCAAACTTTGATTCTTGACCTTTATCAACTTCACTGCTGTCGTTCCCTATGTTACTTTTTCTTGCGTGCTAGATTTAGATCTTAAATGTTTTCACGACGTAATGTTCTAACATATCTGTGTAAACATATTTTTCAGTTTCTTTGTTCTTGATTCTACATTTAAAAGACTTCATACGACTAACTTCCATAGTGGTAATATTCTTAAGCTCTTTTTGTGAACCAATCAAGAATATTCTTAAGTCTGGAATATAAAATTGTATTCAACCACTTCCACAACTAATTTTGGAGTATCTTCCTCCTAATTCTATGGGAAATAGTGTTAGGTCAATTTTGAGTTTAAAAAGAATTTAATTGATCAAATATAAGATGTTGCTGTAAAAACAAAACCAAAAAAAGTCAACAAAAAAATGCTTATATGAAACCCCTTTATATAATAAGATAGTACTGATAAATTATAAACTATGCATGTTACATGGATTAGTGTTACTATTTGGTAACTCTTAAGACTTTCAAACCAGTAATCACAACAAATAAATATGAACGAAGAATTAATTACATGGGACTTTAAGTCTGCGGGACAGTTGCATATGCTTCCTCGAGACTGGTTTGTCGGTGGATGTAGATCTAAGTATGTGTAGTGTGTACACACACTACACATTCATAAAGATAAATCACACAACCCATTTATTATTTGATAGTGAAGCTTTCACCTTTTTTTGTTTTATTTTACTTGTTGTCCGACAGAAATAAATTATATTTTAAGTTCTAACACTTTCTTCTCTAAAAAATTACTAAACTAAATCGTATTACAACGATTTATTGGATCAACAAAAATACGTGTTTACCAACCTTTTTTTTTGCCAGCTTGATCGAGTTTGGTAAAATCATGTACTTTATAATACGAGAATCACAAGATCCAAAAGTATTCCTCTTGTTGCTGCTGGCTTATAAAACTTTTAATGATTAAACTATGAAAAGGCATGCTTTTAGACATGTGAATTAATCACAGCCTATCCACGCACACATTCTGCTGTGAATCAAAAAGTTGTTGATAGTTTCTCTTATATGAATATATATATATATATATATTTAGATTCAAAATATTTCAAACACAAGGCAATGCTTCCTAGTAAATAAGAGATTTACAACTGAACCACCAAAAAAATATCGCACCTTAACGGCATTACCGTAGATAGAGTCCATTATTTTACAATGCTCATAGCAAAAACCGGAGAAATAATTTGAAGTCACAAACCAAAAAACCCTGAAAAACTTCAAAATACATTTCAAGAGATACAAATCAATCGAATCAATAAATATGAAAGCTGAAAGAGGAGAAAAAGGAACACAGACAAACAAAAACCAAAACAAAGGAGAAAACTTGGTACAAAAATATGCTTAGCGGCTTTCTTCTTGCCCCTTTTTAAAACAGAGCACACAGTCTAATGGAAAAAAAAAAAAAACCCAGAAATGCCTATCATTACCACGTAACAAAGATATATTTACTTGAGTTGAGATGCATTACCCTTCCATTTCTCAATCTGAGTCACTCGAAGAACTAGAACTTGAGCTTGAGCGTGAAGAATTGGACTTGCTCTTCTTCTTCGTCTTCTACTCCTCCTTTCCTTTTTGCTCTGTAATGTTTTCCTCCAATTTCGCTGGAGTTTCTTTGGTCTCAGGACCCGGTAAATTCTCATCTGCTTTTCTCTCAGTCTCACCTTTGGCTTCCTCGGTCATAACTTCATCACTTACTGTTACATTACTCGGACCAGCGGCTTCTGTGGGAATCACCCCTCTTTCAGAGATTACATCCATTGCCATCCCCTCTTTTGGTTCAGAAGGCTTGGGAATTTCCTCTAGGGATTGAGTTTCAAGAGGTAAGACATCAGATGTTGTTATCTCTCTTGTGCTACTTTCCTCTTCTTCTTCTTCTTCTTCTTTCTTGGGTGTGTTGTTCAGAGGAACGGTTGTTTCATCAAGATATTTTTCTTCAACCAAGGACTCTGATGGTTCGGTTTCAACCGCACACATGATTTCTCCAGACCCACCATCTGCTTCAGGTGACTTTGTTTGCACGCCCATGCTTTCTACAACATTCAAAGCATTACCCAGATTTTCCTTCGTCGTAGCTTCCACAACTACTAAATCTGACTTTGTCTCTGTTGAATTTCCATAATTTTCTTGAGCCAACTGATCTTGAAGGGCGCTTGGATGAATAACATCCTCAACCTCAGATCCTTCATGGATCTGCTGGAAAGCAGAATCTATGTCTTCAACCGACCTCGCTTCGAGAACAGGCAGAGCTTCGGTCAGTTCGTTGGCGGTGTCTGGTCCTACTGAAGATGGCCCAGGTTCAGAATCTGTCACAACTTCCTTAATACTGAAGTCTCCAATCGTGTCAAGTTCAGATAACAATCCTTCATCAATCTCTTTTATCTCGTCTGCCTCTTCGGTGAAAACTTCAGGAGGACTTTGAGGTATTGCATGCAAGTCTATAAGCTGATCTAATTGTTCCGCCACATGGTCAAGCTCCTCATACACATCATCTTGGAAGAATTCTGTCCTTGACCCTTCACCAACCATGGGTGTCGTGTACTCAGGAGATTCTGCTGGAGATGAGGATGTATCAGACGTCAAACAAGATAACTCGGCTGTATCTTCAGGAGCATCGTGATACTCATGGAAAGTGATGTTGCGGGAAAAGACGACACTAACAGGACCTGCACGAGTTGGTACCTGCAATAACGCAGCACAGTAAGAAACAGATCTCTTGCTAAACATATTGTAGAAAGAACAAAGAAGTCCAAATGTTTTGGAGGTATCATTCCAGTTACAATTACGAAACCACAAATCTAGATGGCATACCATTATCCAATAAGAAGGTGGATAAGTATGAGATTGTGTAGACAATATGTATCAATGCACCATAAGTATATCTATCTTAAAATTAAAGGATAGCAGCAGAAGATAGTACATTATAATCATCCGAAAAATGTGCATCTATGAGAGAAAATAAGTTTCATGACTTACTTGATCTTCACCAGGTTCAAGAGATGATTGTTCTACCACAGATTTATCTGACCAGGTCAGTTCTCTATCTGACACAGATGGAGTTGTTTCTTCAGATCCCACATTTTGGGCAGTGGCATTTACAGAGTCTACTTCAATATCCATTGTTTGGTCGAGGTGAGTTTCTTCCTCTGCATCAGGAACTGATGACTGAACTGGCTCCTGTTCCAACTGCAGAACATCTTCGTCATTAAATGAATGTGTCTCAACATACTCAACTGCTCCAGAAGATAAAGTGGCATAGCTGTCTATTGGGATGTCTGCATTGAATGTTTGAGGACTGGCTTCATCTTTTTGTTTCCCGGCTTGGTCTTCCTCGTGCATCATCTCTTCAGCTACTGACTTGTTTACTGAAGTTTCAGCTATGTCATGTACCACACCAGGTGATTCTTCCAGTGTTGTCACATGCTCCCTTGTATCACCAGATGCTAAAGGTGAACATGTATTCTCAACTGGGAGATGTTGTTCAACCATCCCTGTAGATACAACTTCCTCTTCTGTAGGAGAAACCAAGTCAACCAAAGATGCACTAACATCTTGCGTTCTGGTATCTACAGCCTCTCTCACATCTTCATGCAGCTCTTCCAGCTCCACTTGACTAGAAACAGATAAAGGATCATGTTCCTGGTGATCAACATTCTCGTTCTTATTAACAGTCAGAGAAGAAGGATCAAGTAAGGCATCCTCAAATTCAGACCCTGAAACAGTTGAGTTATTTTGACCATCAATGCCAACCTCCGCAATGAGAGGGCTTGCCTGTCTTGTAACATGGGTGCTAGACTCTCCTACCTCCCTTGCACTTGTTTCAGTCTCATCAGAAGTGGAATGAATTTCCACAGGACCTATGCTATCAGAATAAACTTCACGTTCTTTCTCTTCATTTTCTTCTACTTCTTCCCCATTCTTTCCGGGTAGATCTGGTTTGTAATCCGACGATACAGAAGAAAATGATGGGAATCTACTGCCCGAGGGAGGACTCGAATCATAAACAGGTTCTTCGTGGTGGCTGTCCACCAAACCACAAATAGCATGAATTGCTGACTCATCAAGCGAGGGATGTGCAGTAATGAAAGATTCTTCAGCATGAGCTCCATCATAGAGATAATCATCTTCTATCCCCCTTGCCCCATGGATTTCTAATTCTCCAAAAGAAGGATTGGAAGAAGCACCTGATTCTTCATGAATATCAACCTTCCGCTCTGAAATCGACATTGCTTCATCGTCACTAATACCCGGTATCTTTTCCTCTTTCTCTGATAAAGATGAATCACTATCAGTGTAATCCTCTTCATCAAGTTTTCTCTTATCAGAAGTTTCTCCTTCCATCATGTTTGATTGCTCTTCATGTGTTTCCGCACGTCCCAGTATTATCTCAGCCACATCATGATGAAGATTTCTGCTATCAGCACGTTCATCGAAGTCGGAATCTTCAGACGAGTGGCCTTTTTCTTCATCATGGTCAGAGGCTGAATGGCTTTTTTCTTCATCATGGTCAGAAGCTGAATGGCTTTTTTCTTCATCATGGTCAGAAGCTGAATGGCTTTTTTCTTCATCATGGTCAGAAGCCATATCATCTTTACCAATTTCAGTTTCTCGATCAGCATCATGTCCATCCACCTTTTTTTCATCATCTTCCAGGACTGTGCACACAGATTCAGTATCAGGAACAGAACTTACTTTTGATTCACTAACTTCACTGAGCTGCCTTTCAAATGGATAATAGCTCGATCCCTCATTTGCTAATCTTTCTAGCACAAAGAAGGGTCGTAGCCTATCATGCCTGGGACCTCCAAGCATTGATGGGCCCACACTGAAACTTTCATGTCTTCTGAACACTGGATCCTTAGGTTGTTGAGAAGAGAACTCTTCCTGGAAACCGTCACCCTTGAGGTCTGGCTTTTCTTCATTTGGCTCATATGGAAGATCAAATGGGTTTCTCCTCGCAAACATAATGGACGGGGCAGATCCAGGGATAGGTGGTAATCCCAAATCATCGTACGAATCATATGGAACATCAAATGGATTCTGCCTTGCAGTTGAGATTGGTGGCATATTAAAGGGAATATCAGCACTGTCAAAATCAATAAGATTTCTCTCTGCCATCAGTCTCATATTGTGGCGAGCCCTTCTCCTGGCAATAAGATTCTCCAAGCGTTGGTTTCTTTCAAGTTCGAGACTTCCTAGATCCATAACATTTCTTTGGTCAGCTTCTGTCCATTTGATTGCTGATTTACTTTCATCGTCCTTTTCTATTTTCTTTTCCTCTTGCTCTTCTTCTTCTTCTTCTTCTTCTTCTTCTTCCTCTTCTTCTTCTTCATCCTCTTCCTCCTCATCATTCTCATTGTCGCCTTCTTCTCCTTGACTTTCACTGTCAACATCAGTCTCCATCCCTTCATCACTACTACTCCTATGTGGCCCCTCTGAAGCTGCATCTGATCCTTCACCATCTGGGATACCACGAGTTGGGGCATCTGAGTGTAAAAGCGGGTGAAGCTCGTCAAGCATTGGGATGATGTCTGTCATAGAAGCATCAGGTGAAGAGCTTTCTGCACCATCAGATTCAGAATCCAGCGAGTCATCACGGTCTGCATCATCATCATCATCCTCCTCATGCCTCATTGGTCTCCAAGGTGAAACTGGAGATATATCCAACTGATCTTCCTTTGAATCATCTATCATTTCATCTAAAGATCCACCATTTTCCCTTGATTGTTCTGCACCCGAACCATGCATCCCATCATTTTCAATCAATTTCTCCTCAACTCTTTCTCTCCTCTTCTCCAAGTCCAAAATAAATGCTTTTTCCTCAAACCTGACCTGAGTGTCCCGTTTAACCTCATCAAGAGTCTCATCAAGTAAAGGCCTATAATCAAACGGTCGACCATCGTCCTCAACCTCACTGAGTTGGTTTTCCCCAACTCTATCAGCATCATCATTTCCATCCTCAACTACGTCTTTCTCCTTGCCCACAAAACTCTCAACCGTAAAACTCTTATCACCTCTCTCAAAAACAGTGGCATTAGCATCTCTCGATACCTCTGTTCTAAAAAGAGCAGCCTCGTGGACAGTAGTTTCCGGTTCTTTCTCGATTTCAGGAATGTTTGGCTCTCCAAAACTCAAAATCGTGCCAAGCAAAACGAAAGTACACACCAAAACAGGAGATGCAGTCACCAAGGGAGAAAACAGAAGAGGACAGTATCTGTGTAGAAAATACAAAAACCCAACGAAGCCCAGAAGAAAGGGATGATTGCAAATCCATCTGTAGGACATTCTGATCATAATGACAAATAATCTCCGAATATGAACTCTGAACTCCGACCGATCACTGATCATCTCTATTTTATTTTTCCAGATCGTTTCTGTATACGAATCACAAAAAAACAATCACGAATTAGATGAAGAAGTTTCATAGCTTTACAGCTCAAATATTCAAAAAAGGAAAAAGGTGAAAAAAATATTTAGCAGCTTTGAATCGTATTGAAAGATTAAGATAAACAACAAAGATGAGTCCAATTCAAATAAAAAATCCAAAACTTCAGATCGAATCACAACATCACGATACCATATCAACTACAAATCATCTTCCTCTGAAATGATTAGAATCGGATCTAATGCAAAAGAGCTCAGAAAGCAAAATCATATTGAAAGATAGACAAAATGATCGCGCATCAGATCCAGGAATTGGGAAAAAACACCAAATACCCAGAATCTGTATATGGTGGTGAAGTCACTCACCGGGTACGAGCAAAACAGATCACGGAGAAATAAAATCAAAAATACGATTTTTTTTTAAAAGTATCACTTTTGGTAAGCTCCAAACACAAAATGAGAGAGGACGTGGGGAAGCCATGGAAAATCGGAGGAGACGTACCTTACTGGAGGATGAATTGGAGAGAGGAGAAAATGGTTGACTATACACAAAAAGATGGCTAGCGAGAGAGAGCGAAGAGGAAGAAGAAGAAGAAGAGTGGCCAAACTAATATGTGTAATTGTTGTTTTCACTTTTCAGCTTCTTTACAGCCAAAAACGAAAAAAAACAAATGATTTTTTTGGGCTCTCTTTTGTATCTGTCAATTTACGGGCGTTGGCTACTTTCGGCACCAATTTAAAAAAAAAAAAAAAAAAACTAATTTGCAATTTATAAGGAAACTATATAGTAAAATATGTTTTACGAATGTAAATTCTGTTTATGTATCTAAACAATCGCCAAAACAAGATGATAGATACTTACTAGGTGTTAAAAAGAAGTAATAAAATACGGTGTAAATTTATAAAATAGCTCTCATAACAGTTCCTGATTACCATTTTTTTGTACCAAGCTCCGATTCCTTATAGTATATGGAGTTGAAGCAAACAAAAAAGTAATCAGCAGAAGATAAAGATAATGGTTATGAAAGCCATTTTTTAAGTTCAAATAGTATTTTACATTACTATTTTCTTAGGTTAAGAACATATAAAATATATGTGGGTGGAAAAATCAAAGATATATATTTAGTATTCTGAAACTTGTTTGATTGTTGTGTTTACATGATTAAAATTGTTCATTTATATAGAAGAGAACATTAGCCAAACTCAAGAGACTAAAATATACCTCCATTATGTAATATGGGCAGCCATGACACTTCCCTAACCATCCTTCCTGTAATGTTTTTGATTTCCAAGTACATATCATCACATGTGACATCTTTATACTTTAAAAGAGTTCTCATAATAAACTGTTGTATTGTGTACAGAAGGTCATACAAGGATTTCTTCTGATTAGAGGCAACGGATAGTAATAAATTGTTTTTGTTATGGTGTGCATATGAAAAATAGAGCCACTGATTTCTCTCTTGAAATTCCCAGAATTACATAAAAATGCTTTGGCAATGCAAGCAAACACGTAAAATGATTTCTCCATTGATCCATAATGGATACGATACAAAAGACAAAAACAAGCTTATGGCAGTCAGTCACAAGGCAATATTATTAGTTACTGCGATTTAGAAAACTGAGTAAAGATGTTTTCAACTATAGCATAGTACCACTTGCGTCGGTTTTGGTTTCAACGCTGACTAAATGTAGATGCGGTTCAAGTCTCCCAGTCTTTCATCTTCTTGCTCCCCTTTGGTTTTGCAATAGGAGCGTCCATGCCTGCCATTTTCTTGTTGTATTTTTCGCGTAGAGGATCATTGGAAGTCCACCTGAAAATCATTTGTTATGCAAGCAAAATATCAAAATTCTGCAGCTCATTAAACAGAAGAACAGATTCAAGATTCTCCCAACATGACGCAGCTCACATTTCCATGCAAAGATTCAGGTCGGATCTCAGCTTAACGTTTCTACTCAAATTCTAAATAAATCAGATTTCAGAAGCCTAAATGAGAGCTATTTTAATATCATCAGAAGCCTAAATGAGAGCTATTTTAGTATCAGAAGTCTATGCCTAACCAAGGTACTAGAAAATAAATGCTGAAAGCAGAGAACTTACGGGTTACTCCAATCTGTTGTGTCCTCATTGACAAGGTGAGTCCATTTAGTTCTTCCACTACGACCAAAGTGCTTGACTTGCATAACTTTGGGCAGAATCGATTTGTCCAATCTATCTTCTCCAGTTGGAGCAGAGAAGTCGCGGTGAAATATACCATCGGTTCCAGCAGAACCTGCCTCATCATCAGGATCTGCCTGAAAGAAGGCACCCTTGTGGTAGTATTTTTGCATAAAGTTCCATTTCTTTTTCGGTTGAACAGATGAAGGTTTCGGATTCTTCCTCTCCCATTCTCTCCTCTCTTGCTCTGTCATGTTCCTCAACTTCTCTATTTCTTCCCTCTCTATCAGCATAGCTTCCCTTGAATCTCTTTCTCTCTTGATCCTACCGATCTCTCTTGTCTTCCAAACCTCGTACTCCTCGGCTTCATTGAGTTCGTCATCAGTTTCCACATCTCCAATATTAGCTTCTTCCAATAACAGGTTCTTCCGTATCTCTTCATCTTTTCTAACTTCCTCAACCACTATTTGCTTTGTCTCTACTTTTCTTATCTCCAGTTTTCTCTTTGCTAATTCCTCAAGAGCTTCTTCTTCAGCCTCAAGCCGCTCACGCTCTGCTATCGTATCTCTCTCAGCTTTTGGTACAAAAACAGGCTTGATCATGGCAATACCAGGCATGTCATCTTCAGAATCAGTCTCGTACTCAGACTCATCCTCCTCTTCTTCTTCCTCTTGTATCTCATCTTCTTCTTCTAGAGGGAGTAGAGCAGCCTCCTCTTGCGCTCTTTTAAGATTCTTTTCTCTAATTCTTCTTCTTCTTTCTTCCAAGGCATCTTCATCATCTTCCTCGTCTTTAATCTCTTGATTCCTTTCTTCTTCTTCGGTAGATATAATCTCAGCCTTTCTAATTCGACGATGATCGGCTCTAACTTCGTCAAAGTTTTCTACTCTGTTCTGAGCTAAACGGCGCAGCCTAGGATCATCCTTTCTAGCAACACCCAAATCATCATTCTTTGGAAAAGCTCTATCCAAAACAGAAACCGTCTGCATCCTAACATCATCATCTTCCTCAGCTTCCTCAGCCCACTCCGGAGCTTTTCCTGGCCAATACCTTCTCACTCTAGTCTGTCCAATACCACCACGTAGTTTTTCCCTTACAGCAATCGCAGCATCACTCACACCCGCTGTGACCGACATATTTGCACTTGCCAGTAACCAAACTCAGTTATAGTTAGCTATTTGTTTCCGGTGCACAAAAAGAAGGAGAAGGATTAGATTCAAGCTTTTCATCAATAGTATTCATCAGAAAAAGAAAAGAAAAAAGAGCTAATTCCCCAAATCGATCCTCAATAGCTAAAATCATGATGACCGAACAACAAATGGCAGTATGTACAAACTATATCAATGATGTGTGTGTGGATGAGTATATCAACATAAGCACACATATTCGGACCAAGGAAGCTCGAGAAAATTCAAAGATAAAAGGCAAAAAGGGAATCGATCTCTACTCTATAAAATCTGAGTTATTTGTCCAAAGCTTGGATCGACGGAGTTAGAAATGTAAATCAGCACAAAAATTAACAAACGAAGACGAGAGGAATACAAATCAGACACGGATAAAACATAGATAAAACACGAAACTCAATGGTTCGGAAAGAGATAACAAGGAAACATAAATTAACCAAATTAAGAAGAAATTGACGACAAAAATAAAACGAACTTACAATATGAAGAACAGCGAACGAAGGGAATCTTAATTCGGCGAACCCTGTTCGTAAGAAACCCTAAGAAATCGTGGCGTGACGGAGGAGAAGGAGAGACGGTGGAGGAGGAGGACCAGGAGGTCTTGAAACCGGAAACACTAAACACTACCCACGCGAAAATTCATAAAATAATAATACTCACAGCAACTTTAATGGGCTTTTAATATTTGTGTTTATATTGGGCCTTTATTTTAACATTTCGATCTTACATTGTTATTTTTCTAATAATGCTTTTGGTTAAACTGGTGGGTATGGTCTATGAAATTGGGATGAATTAAAGAGATGCGTGTAAATTTATATGCACTTTAGACGCTGGCTGCTATGAGGTATCTATCCTAGTTGTTTCATAAATTTTCAAGTGGAATTTGATCAATGTCGCTTGTTTTTATTCTAGGTTCCATTTAGTTGTTTCAAAGGCAAAATCAAAAGAATGTTGATCGGATGTATCTTCCTCAAGTCCTCATGGACCAACATTAATCACATTGTTGTCTAGCTATAAGAAGGGATATCTACATATACGAATACTAATCTTATGGTGAATCAAACTCTTCCCAAACAACTAGTCATCTTCCCAAAAGCATACTTGTTCATCAACTCTGTTTTACACTGATCCAGACTATTTATTCATGGATCTTTTTGTATTGGAATCTCTATATTCTGGATTTCTCTCTCTCTACCTCTGTGTTCACCAAGATTTTACCTTACATTTCCATGTTTAGAATCCTTTGCTCAACTGCTGTCCAGCTTGGTCCCGACCTTTCGCCACCTAGCCATCACACCAGCGTGCTTATGAAAAATAACGTCCATCAATTCCAAAGTCACAGGATGTTTTAGTCACCAACATATATTGATCTTCCTATTATCGATAGACTGATACAAAGGCAGACCAAGATAGATATAAAAGTGAGAACAATTAGCCATAAAGTGATGAAGACATTTCTAACAATGACACCAGTAGAAGCGAAATTATCCTATTTCCGCTAAAGAGTTGGAAAATCCACTTTGCATCAATTGGCTTAAACTCTGCAATAAAATTAAGACCAAATGTTACACCAAGTAGTTGAGCCTTTTTCAATTTCCGCCTTAGAACAACCTAAGGAAAAATCAAAATCTCAAATGGCGACGATAATTAATGTAATACTGACTCTTGATAAGCTACATATATGAAAAAGTCCTGCTATTGTGATGGTATGGGGAAAAAGATCCCTCACCAGTCACCACCAAAGTAATCAAAACCATTATTGTGCGGTGAGACAGAGCATTTGATTGAAAAGATGCTCATACGTTTTTATATGAGAGCTGAATAGCAACCACTTAGGCTTATCATTTAACCTTAATTGCTACATATATAACTAACCAGAAAAACAAAACAAAAAGATAGATGACGACCATGAATGACGAGATACATTTCTGCAATCAATAAAAGGATAACTTTCACACAGCGCTTTTCTCTACTTGGATTTGGTTGTCCTTGAAACTATTTCGACCCTCAAGATCAAAACTCAATCCAGATTCTACTTTAGTCTCTACATTTTCATCAGTTATTGTCATCTCATCATATCCATACCATATCTACATAAAGAATAGGCATAAAGCTGAGACATTTACAGCCAAAACAGAGCAAAAAAATGAAAACTTTATTAAAAAAAAATTGCAATTTGGTTCATTCAGAAGAAGAAACATACAGCAGAAAGCTGAAACAGATTAACAGAAGTAGAGACAAACAAAAGCTCTCAAACTAGATTACAAACAAACCAGCAGATAACTCATACAACTAGGCAGCGCCAGAAACCAAATCTCCGGCAGGAGAAGCAGCGGTGGCACCACCGTCATCAGAAGCAAGAGTGAACGGAGTCCACTCCGCCGGGAGAGGAGGAAGAGGAGCATACACAGTAGGCTTTCTCTTAATATCCCAAGGCTGGGACTTCTTCGGCCTCGACTTCCTGTGATGCGCAGTCGATTTCTTCTGAGGCCTCGAAGAACACTCAATGACCATCCCTAATCCTCCGCCATTCCCCAATTTCGGAACCTGAAACTGGCGTAGAACCGGAGAAGAAGCAGCGACGGTGACGATTCCGGTGCCAAAAATCGCTGACACAGACATTGTTTCCTTATCTTTAGTGCAAGTGAGAGAGAAAGTGAGTTTCAGCCTCTAGCTTTGGATTAGAGTAAGTAAACGTCATATCTTGTTTTCTCTGCTGGGTTTTTTCCAGATTGGGCTTTTAAGTATCTTATTGGGCCTTTTTAAATTGTAGGATATAGCCCATAGTCAAATGAAAATATATTTTGTCCAAAACCTGTCTTTTTTTTTTTTGGTCACCTATCCAAAACCTGTCTAATCGTAATGGTTTATGTGTTAATTAAATCAAATACAACAAGCCTAAGTTAGGCTTCAAACTAGCTACTAATCACCAACCTAAACAAATTTCACAATCTCCACCTCAAGTTACTCTTTATTGCTTATACGTAGACTCAAAAAACATTAGCTGAAATTATTATGGCCAAGAGAGTGAAGAATGGTTTCTTCTACGTGACTTGCATTATCATCATCATCCAGTACATTCGCAAAACCCACGTGCATCAGATTACCACCACCCCCTTATTTTGTTGTCGGCGAATCATTTCTTGGGTCTCTTTACTTACAAAATAATAATAGTAGTACTACTGCGTATCTCTCTCTTTATACCAACAACAACAGCTCAGCCACTCGATTACCTATAGTACGAAGAGATTACATTGGTTAGATCAAATTAGGCAACACACAAACAAACACTGTATGGTACCCATTTCATTTATATATGAGGCTTGCGCACAAACCTTATCCTTATCAGCTTTACTACCCTTGAAATAACAACCGCGCGCAGAGATTAAAACAAACTTTTCCAATTCTTTGTTATTCTCAAACCTACTTTTACGTATGTCAAATAATGTGTACGTCAATCATTCTTATAAACATGAGATTTAAGTAGATATACGAAAATATAAAATATATGAAATGTATAATTTGCTATATTGTTTTAAAGGTTTTTTGATATAAGCAAATATGTAGTCTATTTTCTCTGATAAAAGATTAATCTGTTTACAGGTAAGCGTCTTGTATAAAAGGCCTAATTTTGAGCCAGTTTTAGCCATGTGAGTGTTTTTTCTTTTGGGGTAAACTTTGTTACATCGAGAAGAGAACCATATGAATCGTTTGCTCTCGGCGTCTCTTTGCTTGCATTATTGCATTATTATTTTATATATTTTTTGGAATTAGAGTTTATATTGTGTACTGCACTGCCATGCCAGCGAGATGAATATACCAGGAATCTTTGGATTCTCTTTTTTTTTTTTGTCAATATTTTATGTGTGACCAAAAATAATAGTTAAAAAAAAAAAAAATACTGATCTTGGTTGGAAAATTCAAAAATATATAAAACAAAACTGTTATATTCGAAAGAACTATTACTATTTTATTAAAATATAACATTTTATATGGAAAAGAAAACTACTAACTACATATAATGTCAATATAGAGTTCATATATGACATAATTGCTAAAAGATACAAAACTAATAACTAATCTTCACGAATATGGAAAACATAATAGACTAACAACTTATTCTCAATTATCTCAAATCCCTACTATAGTAAAAGAGAAATACAAATGTTTCTTGGGTCGGGTTTTAAAAAAAAAATTAACCCGGAATTTTTCAGTTGGATCTTACTAAAAATTTAAGGATATTAAATACCAGTTTCCATATATATTATTTCGAAATTTACCAAATTAAACCATCAATATCGGTTTGGGAAAGTACATTAATTTTAATTTGTTTAAGGAAAAATACATTAATGTATGATTTTGTATATTGGTTTAACAAATTAACCTAAAAATCAGAAATATAAATTAAATATAAAATAATCATTATCAAATTATCCATAATATTTCAAAACAAAATCTTCCTTAAATATCCTATATTGATATTTGGATGTATAGTTTTCTCCTACATTAACTATGATCTTCACATTAGTTACGGGATATTTCATTTTCAACCATCTTTAATATCTATTTTTTTTCTCTATGACCATCTTTAATATTTATTTGGCAATAGTTTCGAATTGCTGGCTTGATTATAAAACTAATCTTTTTTCAATTTAACCCTAAGAAAATATGATCTATATAAATAAGTTTTTGCTACCAGAAAATTGTAACATCAACACAGATTTTACATTTGAACACGATAAGAAATAAGAAAGCATTGGCTCTTTATTTGTTTATTCTAGAGATTTGCAACTTTACAAAACTGCATGAAAGGTCCAAGTTAAAATCATGTATTTATGATTATGCGGTGTACCGCGGGTCAATCCCTAAATTTTAAAAATGATTCATTGTATAATTTTTTTTTTTTCATTGTATAATATTTATACATGTATATATGTCACATATTGTTCTAAAATTAACAATCCAACTAAAATCATACAATTTAAATCATTTTGAACATATTCGAAACCAACACATACAATCTAAAAATGATAAAATTTAATTACTAATCAAAATAAAGTAAAGCAAACACAAATAAAATTATCTCGCAACGTACAAAGGACTAAAAACCCGGTAATTTTCCCCCGCGCTGTAACGCGGGTCCGGACCTAGTTATGGATACAAAGAATCCGACGGTTTTTTTTCACCAAAAAATAAAAGGTGCCTGCGGTCCAAATTTTATCAAATGATTTCTTTTTTTTTTGTTTGCATTATTTATTAAAATTCTTTAATGATGCAAGAAAAATCACAAGAATGTGGATATGATTATATGTTTGAAAAGTCGTGATCAGTTAAGATTACGTTGCAAATTGTTCTCTTTGATACTCATTCCAAAATACAACTTCGTAATCATATCAATCGACCTTTTATTATTTGTTTGAATCCTAGTTTCAGCAATTGTATCAATCACATGTCCATATTTGATAACTGATTTAGAATAATCATTTCTTTCTATGCCTAAAACGTTAGGCACTATCCATATATTTTGACGGCCGTCGAAAATTATAAGATTCTTTTTTTTTTTAAGAAAGCAATCAACCCTCCTAAGTTGGTGATTAATTCAGCCATTATACGAAAATTATTGCAACACAATCTTTCTTACTCACGTTAATAGTTATGTGCTTTTTGTTCTATTAAAATTTTCTGTTGACTACTATTTTGTATCGAATATTATTAGCCTAATTTTCTACTACAGCAGCTATCTTAATTTTGTCTATTTCAAGAAAAAAAAAGTAAAAAATCTACTACATTAATACTAAACTCCTTAATATATTGTTCCTGTCACAAATACAACGACACGTGTGATTTGATTTGCATGCCTCACTAGAAAAATTGGACTCCAAGTTGGACTATAGAAAAATAAAAATCACTTACATACAAAATTGTATAGAACATGAATGAATATCTCGTAAAAACCAATACTAGTAGATAACGAAGTTTTATAAAATAACACTTTATCAACTTCGTTTTTTCTTCCTTTGCGTGAATAATAATTGAATGTAACCTCCCCCACTTAATATTTCGCATAATATGACAATAGTTTCCCCTTACCCTCCACATCCGCATGAAAGAAAAAGAAAAAAAATCTTATATTTTCCAAAATGTATTAACAATTCAAAAATTCCACAGAAAATTAAAAAAAAGAAAAAAAAAAAAAAAAAAAAAGAAACTAATGATTTTCTCATTATTATATCAAAAAACCTAACACCCTTCATTATTGCTCCCACTTACCAATCCGCTTCCGTGAATGGCAAGTCTCTTCTCCTCACGTCTCACCTCTCGTTCGCTCTCTCTCCTCATCAACCTCTTCTTCGTCTTCCTCATCTATCTCCATTTCGCTTCACAATATCCTTCTCATCACTCCGGATCCATAGAAGCCTTAAATTCTCTCGTCGCCGGCGACAGTGACAGCTGCAGCGGAGGTCTCGCTTCCCTCGACGACCACCGTTCAAAGTGTTCTTACATTAGATCTCAATCAAAATGTGGCTCCCAAGGTTACATAGACTATCTCAAGATTTTCTTCTGCATCTTCGGACAATACCCTGTTTTGGGCCATCTAGTTTTATCCGCCTGGTTGTTTGTTCTGTTCTACTTGCTCGGAGACACGGCCGCGAGTTACTTCTGTCCTTCTTTGAACAGCTTGTCTAAGGTTTTGAAGCTGTCTCCTACAATGGCTGGAGTCACGCTTCTCTCTCTAGGAAACGGTGCGCCTGATTTGTTCTCCAGTGTTGTCTCCTTCACTAGATCGAATAATGGTGATTTCGGGCTCAACTCTATTTTAGGCGGCGCCTTCTTTGTCTCTAGCTTCGTCGTCGGGACGATTTGCGTGTTGATTGGATCTAACGATGTCTCTATTGACAGAAACAGCTTTATCCGTGACGTTGTTTTTCTTCTTGTCGCTCTTTGCTGTCTCGGTTTGATCATCTTCGTCGGAAAAGTAACCATTTGGGTCGCTCTCTGTTACCTATCCATTTATCTCCTCTACGTAGGGTTCTTATCGGTTTCACATATCTTTGACCGCAAGAAACGTATGTCCGATCAGACTCTTCGTAGCAGAGAGGATTTAGCCGAGATGGGCGTCCCGTTACTAGGCTATATAGCTGAAGAGAAGCTGGTTTCGTCAGAGAAACCAGCTCAAGAAATCAAGGTTCTGTTTCTCGATCCTCCAAAAAGGCAGCGGTCTTGCTTCTCGGTGCTAGTGAGCATCGTAGGGCTACCTCTATATCTCCCCCGGCGGCTCACTATTCCCGTGATTTGCGAAGAAAAATGGTCAAGGCCTTGCGCGGTGGTTTCCACAGCCATCGCGCCTGTTCTACTAACCGAACTTTACTGCTCTCATTACAGCGGATCCCAAAGAAACCTAATCTTGTACATAATATCAGGATCTATTGGGCTAATCCTCGGTATCTTAGCATACTTGACGACAGAAAAATCACAGCCGCCGAAGAAATTCTCATTAGTTTGGCTTCTAGGAGGATTCACAATGAGTGTGACATGGACATACATCACAGCACAAGAGCTAGTCTCTTTGTTAATATCCTTAGGGAATATCTTTGGGATTAGCCCTTCCGTGTTAGGACTAACCGTCCTAGCTTGGGGCAATTCCTTAGGCGATCTTATCGCCAACGTGACCGTGGCAGTTCACGGAGGCAACGACGGTGCTCAGATAGCACTTTCGGGTTGCTACGCCGGTCCACTATTCAACACGGTAATTGGACTAGGCGTGCCACTAGTTATTACCTCCTTGGGCGAATACCCTGGGGTCTACATCATTCCTAGTGACAATTCGTTGCTTGAGACACTAGGATTCTTAATGGTAGGCTTGCTTTGGGCACTTGTGATAATGCCAAAGAAGAAGATGAGGCTTGATAAGCTTGTCGGTGGCGGGCTACTTGCTATTTACCTCTGTTTCTTGTCCTTGAGATTGGCTAGGGTTTTCGGAGTCCTTGATATCGACCGATGAAATTTGTAGTAGTATCGTAAATCTATTAAGTTTTGTTTTTGTAATAGTTAAAAGAAGAAATGTTGCAAATAGATCTTATTATTTGTGGATCTTATTCCTTTGAAATTAAGAAAACGTTGTGAATAGAAATGAGAGAGATGGCTAAATTTGTTTGTTGCTGAACACTCAATTCCTGTCAAGCTCACTAAGTACCTCAACTAAAATTTAAAAAAGCTTTGGATTGTTGTTCCAGGTTCATTGTTCATCATAGTTCTGGGCGTTCGGATATTCAGATCGGATTCGGATCGGATATTTCGGATTCGGGTTTTTTGGATTTAGAATTATAAAATCCATTCGGATATTTTTAAATTTCGGGTACGGATCGGATTCGGATCGGATTTTTCGGATTCAGATTCGGATATCCATAGTATTCAAAAATCTAAAATTTGAATCTATATATATGGAAATTAATAATCCCAAATTCTGTTACAACACTAAATAAAGTTTTCTTTGATTGTTCATATAGGATTATCTTACATGTGAATCGTACCTTAGTTATGAAATAAAATATATCAACTTTTTGGTCGCAAAATTAATAGATTTTGATCTTTTAAATCAAGTGTTTGGTATACCAAATTAAATTAATAGATTTTGATTTTGAACTTGTTTTGTTTTTTTTTGTGGTTTTGGCTCAAAACATTAATACATTTTCCAAAAAATTTTTTTTTAAAAAACTCTGATTAAAACTAAAAAAAAAAGGTTTCAATTAGGTGAATTAAACCGGAATGTAGCAAATACGGCCAAATTTCTCTTAAAATGTAAAAATCTTTAATCAGCTATATTGTGGTAACGGACATTGCTAAGTGTCCCATAAAATTGTCCCAAAATTTGGAATTATCCTAATTTCAAAGAAACAATTTGCGACAAACAAGAAAAATGTGCCAAATTATTATATGTACACGAGTCATGAGATAATGAAACTAACAATAATAGAACCAAAAAGACACAAATCTTATCTTAAAAGTTTTAATGCAAATTGGCAAATTGAGACAAGCGTTGTCACTTCAAGCAACTCCCACAATACCGGGAATTAAATAGACTATATAGTAATTCCCTTTGAAGATATATAAATATATTTATACTGGCAAAAAACATTATCCCTATGAGATAGAGTATGTGCTAACATGAATGTATATGATGAGCAGAGATTGTTGACTATCCCAGTATGTGACACATATTTGAAAAATGTAGCTACTCAATTTGAATTCCATAACTATAGTATAAGGCTTCCGTAAATTACAAGTAAGAGAATCTCATTGAAACTATAACTTTGGTATTATTGAAACTTACTTGAGATTGTATCATATACATGATAATGAAAAACCTAAGTTACAAATCTACATAAGTTATCCATATACATTACAAAATCGATTACTTTTACAGAGTAGAAGAAGATTATCATACAAACCCCATGTTATGTAAAAAAAAAAGAACACTATGAAGTTTAAACAAAGTTAGTGAGCATCTCCAACTGTTTGCATAATTCTTATAGACAATGAAGCCAAGTAAATGACCAGAAGCCCTATGCCCATCACACCACCAAGCCTCATACGGTTACTAAACAGAACCAAGAACGACCAGACCAGTCCTATGACCAGAAACCCAAGACTCTCCAACAAACGGGGGTCTGTCTTGATTATGATGCTCGACGGATAAACCTCCCATGCGCATCCCACAAGCGAAATCCCGAGAGCGAACAATGTATTGAAGATTGGACCGGCGTAACATCCCGATACAGCTACCTGAGCTCCTTCGTTCCCATCGTGCAGCGCCATTGTCACATTTGTTATTAGATCTCCTATCGAATTCCCCCAAGCAAGGACCGTTAGGCCTAGGATCGAAGGGCTTACCCCGAAAATGTACCCTAGTGAAGTCAAAAGCGCAACCAGCTCTTGCGCCGATATGTAACTCCATGTCATGCTCATTACAAACCCTCCTGCTAACCAAGGTAATAACCATTTCTTTGGTGGGCTTGCTTTCTTCGTTGTGGCTCCTGCAACGAAACCAAGAGCTATACCGATCAAACACCCGATTAGATAAACAATTCCAGCTTCAAAACTCGTCGGCTCCCGCTTCCAATTCCATAGAAACGACAACAGAACCGGAGCAAATGTGACTGAGGCTACAGCTAATGGTTTAGACCAGTTGGCTTCACTCACAACAGGAATTGTCAATATCCTTGGCAAGTTGAGAGGCAGAGTGATTACCCAAATGACCAATCTTTTCCAGTAGTAATATCCCTGATGATCACCATCTTCAACAATCTGATGCTCTCCACTATCTTCAATATGCTCAAGACCAACTCTCTGCAAGATTGGTTCACTAAGACTACCACGCTTATGGATTGACTCAATATCAGATTCAGAACCTTCTCCACCAAATCTACAAGAGAGATACACAAAGGCAACATAAACAGCATACAATGAACAAAACCCAAGAGCACCCCAGAAATTGATCTTTCCATAGACCAAAATCAAAGCCAAAGAACCAATCGCCACACAGAAGAAGCAAATATCTCTTATAAAAGCAGCTCTCTCGATCCTTACACGTCTCTTATGCAACGAAATGCTAATGATCCCGACAACAACACAGGTAACAAAAGAAGAACCTCCCACAACAGTGTTGAGACCAACATCGTAAGTGCCCTTTGATTCTCCCATGAAAGAGACCAAACTTGCAAACAAATCAGGAGCACCATTCCCAAGCGACAGAAGAGTAACCCCAGCAACAGTTGGTGACAAATTAAGCAGCTTTGAGAGACTTTCTAGAGACGAACAAAAGTACTCAGAAGCTGTATGACCCAGTAGATAGAACAAGAGAAGCAACCAGAGGAAGAGAAGAAACTGACCCAAAATTGGGAATCCTTCGAAATTACAATAGAGGAAAGAGAGGTAATCGAAGAAACCTTGATTAGCACATGGATCAATTGATTTCAGGTAGGCACACTTTGATTTGTAGTCATGAAAGTGCGTTAAGGCACTACAATCATGCTCAGATTTAGGTTTTAGGGCACTCGAATCAACAGGACTGGTGAAGAAACCCAACAGAAGACAAGAGACAACGAGAAGGAATGTGACTGTCAAGTAACCAGAACGGGTCGAAGAAAATGAAAATCCCATCAATCAGGGAAAAAACCTGGAAACACGAAAAAACAAATCAGAAGAAAGATAAAGTTTGGTTTTTTATCAGAGAGCAGAATAGCAAAAGAAGAAATTTGGGTATGTTGTTGAGAATCTATAAATGGGTTATCTTTATCTCCCTCAACAACAGATCATGAAGAAAGAGATAAACACGAACTCGACGCGGTAAGAGAAAGATAAAGCGCAAGCACTCACCTTTTTATAATATCTGGAAAGAAGAAGACGAAGGAGGAGGGATCGAATTCGAATCAAAAGCTTTAAGGGAGAAGTGAGCGAAAGAATACAAGACACAAACACACAAAACAGAGAAACACTTTAACAAGACCAGCTGAAGACAAACGTCAGAAACAAAAACAGAGGAAGGATCTAATATAAATTGTTTATTTTTATAAAGAATTCGAAAAAACTTTGTCATTATGTCATTGCCGTTTTGGGTTGTGGTGTGATTTGGGTTTTGGAAATGGCATATGTGTCGGCTTCACGATCACCTGTGCGTCATTTTCTCTTTCCATTACGTTGTATTCGTAGAAAAAAGGAGACCAAGGGAAAGGAAGGGTCTCATAGTGAACATAAGCTTTTTCCATAAAAATTATATAATAATATAAGGATCTGACCCAGCAATTTTTTTTATTCTTTTAAGCACTCAACTAAACTCTAATAAAACAGAAACATTCTGGTTGAAGATTAAAAATAGGAATTGTTTAGAGGTTTATTATGATGACTAAACCCGGATCTAGTGGTATGTTTGCACTAATTTAATAGACAGTAGTGCTGTTGAACTAGTATTGATATTTTGATGCAATGTATTTTTGTCTAGTTCTCTTTATTTAATTGTGAACTGTTTGTTGACAATTTTTAAAAAGCAATAGATATTGGTAATTGAGCTTAAATCACCGCCTGAATTCACATGAAGATAACTTGAAAATGTATTAAGAAGAGATTAAAATAGAATAATTGGCTTTCTAAATACACGATGGGTGGTGGGTGACTGGGGTGTTGTCTGTTTGCATTATTGTTTGCTTTCAAGATTTTTACTTCCTTTTTATGTATATAAAGTTGAAACTTCTTGGTTCGAACGTATTTTCAAGAAATAAATATAGATTTACATCTAAAAAGTTTATATAAAGTTTGCCAAATGGATTGAGACACCCATAATCATAAAACAAAAAAGTTGCGAATAAAATGACAGAAAGATATAAGTAGAAAATGTTAATATATAGAGGAAAGGCATTGATAAAGATAAATTTTAATAAGGAAATTAATAGTATAGTAGTATAATGATGTCGACTGAGGAAGAATGAAAAAGGAGAAGAGAAAAAACATGAGGTCGACTTTATCACTAAAACGAGTAAGTCGGTCGATGGATTAGGATTTGGGGATAATGTTACAAATAAAAATCGAACATAATATCAAATTAGATAAAGGGGACTTGTGAGTTTATGAGTTATGGAGTCATGAGTGTGAACTGCAAATGGTAAAAGTAGTACCGAGTCTCTTAGATAGAGCAACGCGGTCTTTCAAACGCGTTTTGCTTTACGTTATTTTTACATATTTGCTTTTAATTTTGTGATAATATTCATTGCTTGAGAGCTAAGTGAGTAGAAGCGATCCATTTATAACACAAGAATCAACGAGACAACAACACGTACGTCCCCTTCAACGAAGAGATTTGATCTACTTCTTTTACTCTCGATATAAAAAAACCTTAGGTTACTCATGGAGATTATCATACAGATCTAGAAAACCTAAACACTAAACCACATATCCTTAGTCTGTTTAACTCTCTATCATTTAAGGTTAACCTATTATTATATGTTGTTTCCTTACTTATGCCTTGACATTGTTGACGATAATATAAAGACTAAAGTTGTAGAATGATGATGTACAAAACAAACAAACAAAAAATCTGACTTAACTCGTTTAAATTAGAAATGAAAATATCCTAAAAGTGAACACTTAAAAAGCTGAAGAACGAGTTAAGAGAAAGAAAGAGGCAGACTCCAAAATAATTGATGATGGGGCTATTCATATAATAAAGGCTAGTCCAGTCTCGGCCCATATTGTTTTCTTCTTTATGGATCCCATTCATTTATTTCAACCACTCAAAAGTCAAAACCATACCAAGTCGGCAAGTCCTGGAAATTTCGGTTAGCATAATAAAAACTAGAACCGGATGTTATACCGGTACAGTCCGGTTATGAATGGGCGATCCCTCCAAAGCTATCACCAACCTTCCTTCCCCATCTCTCTCTCTTTCGATTTCGAATTTTCGATCCTTCGATTTTTATTAAGTTTCGTCTCCGTCTTCGAATTCGCATACAGCAGAAGACGATGAGCTCCGCTTTAGATTTTGCTTTTCCGGCTGCATTCCCGGTGAAATCGAGTTTTGTTGACGGAATTCCTTCTCGCGGACTCGGCTCCCGCGTGAGATTGTGCTCTCTTCGTCCTTCTTCATCTCTCAAGGTTAATAACAATCTCTTATCTCTTCTCCTTCGAATTGTTTTCCCATTTTCCCCTGGATTATTGTTTGATTCATAGAGTGGATTACTGAGATTAGTTGTAGTATCAGTGTTTATCTGTGTGATCTGACTTGTGTTATTTCGAATTCTCTGTATCTGAAATGAAGCCATATTTGGAAAGCTAAGCCTAGAGTCTCATGAGAAATCTGAATCTTACCAATGTACTTAAGCCCTGACTTGTTTAATGATGATGATAGTTATCAGTTACTAGCATTAGTAAGTATGAGTATATAAACATTTATATGTTTCTTCCACAACTCTCTTACCCTGTCAAATTCATAGTGTTACTCTGTTGTAACAAAACTAGAAACGTTTTTGCAGAAGTTGAGCTAAACTTCCCCATGTACATTTGACCCACCCATTCCAGTGTACTTTTGTTTCACAGACTTGTCTTATGATTATGCTTTATTAGCTTTAGAGATTTATGAGTAATCACAAATATATGTTGATACTTTGAATTTAAATCCTAGAAGCGATTTATTGTTGCTTGTCTGGAATTGGTGTTGCTGAAACTCAATGTTTTGTTTAGAGTGTGGATTTTTATGGGAAACATTTCAGCAGTAGGGTGATTGAGAAAGAGATTCCTTTTTCTTGTGAGGGAGGCAAGGCAACATATCGTTTGCTAAGTTGTGGTAGTTATTTTTTTGTTATAGGCTGAGTCAAGCATAAAAAGAGACGTGAACCGACAAAGAAGCAGTCTTGAGTCAATGTTCTGTTATGATAAACCGGTTCCGGAGGAAATAATCGAGGAGCCAGTAGGATTATCTATATCCGAGAGAGAAATTGGTGATAATCAGCGTTGCACTTGTTGTGAAGCTAAAGGTGCATTGCTCTGTGCCACTTGCTCTGGAACTGGTCTATATGTAGACTCAATTATGGAAAGCCAAGGCATCATTGTTAAAGTCCGTTGCTTAGGTAAGCCTCCAACAATCTAAGCCTACATCTTCAACCTGTTTTATGCTAATTACTTCGTCTTCATCTTAACTATATGTTGCTTCTGCTGTAGGTTGTGGTGGAACTGGTAACATTATGTGCAAAACTTGTGGCGGGCGTGGTCACATAGGACACTGATAACTCCGAGATTCACTTGTTCCAGTCACCACTTTTATACGTCGTGCCTTCTCTCTGATTTTATTGTAAAAACCTGCTTTTTTGAGTTCCATACCTAGATTTGTATTCATGTACTGATGTAATCTCTAGCTGAAACATTTACAATCTTGTATCAGAGTTCGTTCGTTCTGTTGTTATATAAAATGGTTTCCTAAGTGGCCCGTGACTAAAATTCTCTATCTCCTTTACTGCTCTTTTTCACTATTTATGCAATCAGAGACAGACAACAGATTCAAAGAGCAAGAATATAAAGCTGTGAAAGGATCAGAACTGAATCATCCTCGTCTGATTTGGTATATACATTCCTTCTCTAATTGCAGTTTTCAATACCAAACTAAACAATCTCCAACCTTTAGTCTAGCTTTTTAAAAGCCTCAGTGAAAAGTGAAACGTGAAAAAAGAAAGAAACGAAAGAAGTTTTCCTGAACTAAGTGGATACCATCCTCATGCTAGCTCTCTACAAGTGTGTTATCACCTCATCCTCATCTTCCCGCACTCTATTCTCAGATTCTCTCTTTGCCTTTTCGATATTTTGGCGCTCAATACGCTGTGGAATTGTGTTATCAAAGATATCGCTCTGTGGATCCTCAGAATAAGCTACATAGTAACCCATTACACATGCTTGTAGCCACGCAGAAGAAACTCTCCCCTGAAACACACCAATAAAAACAGGTACATAAGCTTACATATATGATAAAAGCCAACTTTGATCTTTTCCTGCATTTGGATAATAAGATCTTACCACAAAGTACCCGATGATGAAAGCGTAGATAGTCAGCTCAAAGAAGTGATCCTTTTGGATCAGGAGCTCCCATATTCCTGCAGTTAATGCAGAGATTGCACCAATTCCCATGGCGCTATAGAAACAGATGGAGCTAGTGATGTCAAAATCAATCAATTGCTCAAATCCAGCCACTGTTCTGAACGTCTTCCATGTGTCACTCGACGCTTGCACAAACCCTTTGTTGTAAGCTCCCACATGAACAAATCCATATCTGTTTCCTCGCAAAATAATATGATTGGCAATCCAATAGCAGCCTCGAGTACTTGTATAGATGTCCTGGTCGTCGTCACACCCATCCTGCAGATTAGTGCACCGGATCGATCCCCTAAAGAGTACAATAAGTGGAAGGAGTGTTGAACCAATACAAACGCTCCCGAGCTGGTTTTTCAGAGTGGCACCAAGTGCATCACATGCATTCATGAACTCAACACGTCTGAAGTATACATATGTGGCTTTCGAAATCGCGACTTCTTGTACGTTTTTGAGAACCTGCATTGTCCAGGCAAGGCTTATCACGAGGATGAAGATGAAAAGTATATCTAGACGTGTTCTTGTAGCAGTAGCTCCACCGATTCCAGCAACCAAGAAAGCAGAGTAAAAGACGCTTATGATCACTGATCCAACTGCTATAGCTCTGGTTCTTGCGGGTAACAACCCTGTGGAGATTGACATCATTCTGAAGGTGAATGCATGCTTGTTAATGACGTAAAGCCATCCATACAATGCCGAAATGATGCTAAATACCACAAGAGGTACACCGAGCACTAGAACCACGGATTTGCCGTAGAGAATTATGAAGAGCCCGACGGAGATTGTGAGTATCGGTGTGAACCAGAGCGTTGCTTTGACTGTGGCTCGTATGTTGCAGACGAAGAAGCAATTCCAGGCTAAAGAGAGGACTCCGGAGATAGCAACAGAGGATAACAGAGGAGTGTACCATTTCTTGGGATGGAAGTTAGGTGACTTGGTGAAGACGAGACCTCTTAGCGTGAGAAAGATCACAAAGATCGAGATTAGGGTTAGTTGCGTGTAGAAGATACAAGCGAAGAGGCATCTGAAGAATCTTCCGGTTAATGTTTGTTGCTCTGCGGCGGGAGGTGTTACGGGTTGTTCGATTTCCTGCAAAAAAAAAAAAAGAGAGCAAAAGTTAAGAGACGTGAAGAATCAGTAATTTCAGAGAATCAATGGTGAAATGAGGTTGAAGAATGTGAAGAAACGACGCTAATGCTGATTTGAGAAGAAGAAGTAGAGTAAGTACCATTGAGGACGAAGGTGGATCACGTCACGGTTGAGGAAGACGAAGGTGACTCACGGTTTTCTTGCGGCGGAAACGGTGATGATAGGTGAAAGAGACGAAGAGAGAGAGAGAGAGATGAAGGAGAAGAAGCGAGAGAGTAGAGAAAGAAATGAAGATATATATATAAATGGTCGAGTAAGAGAGAGAGAGAGAGAGAGAGAGGGATGTTGTTGGTCTTGGTTCTTGAAATCTTCACGTGAGACGCAAGAGAGATCTTTCTTGGTCTTCCTATGGGATAATTTATTCAACGTCTCTCTAACTTCGATTTGAAATTGATCTAAGTCTCGCTCTGGCTTTCTCTTTCTCGCTTTCCCTCGTGATTACGTTCCTTGGTATCCAAGTTTTCACATCCTTCTTCATTATTCGTTTGTGTATTTGTATGAATATAATTTTAGCGTCATGTATATATATTGTTTACAAATTTACATATCAAATCATGTATTCTTTATTATTAAATTAGTTAATCTGTGTAACTTATTTACTAATTAACTGAGAAGAGGATGAACCAAGAGAGAAGAGAGAAACGTGAAAAAAATAAATGAGAATGGCATTACAGTAAAACTGTAAAACAATTAAACTTTTATTACAGAAGTTTTTCGTTGCTAAATTTAGATAAAAATGGCATTATAGTAAATAGGAATATTTTTGAACAAAAAAAAAAGTAAATAGCAAGGGTTATATGTATTTTCCCAATTGTGTTATTTATGGTAATTTAGGAGACGTTAAAACAGTCTTGTTTTTTCTTGTGGACAGACGTGAGACGTTAGATGTGCTAGCTAAGCTATTACAAAGATGCATGCCCTCAAGCGGTAGCACTCGTTAGTAGAATGGTGCGTCAAAGATTCGACATGAACCCTATTGTCACCGCCGCTCTACTAAGGATTTATCAGATGCATATTGTTATGGAAATAAATAGATCATAAACGAATTTCATTTCATTTGTTTTTCTATCGTGAAAAAATTTCATGCATTATTGTTTACAACTTTACAAATCAAATTATATTACTAAATTAAATTAATCTGTGTGTAACTTCGTTCCATTCATTTATGTTTTCTTTTCACGTGTTATTACATTAACATAACATAAAATTAACAGTAACATTAATATAGGCATGCAATTAAATTAATGGAACGAAGTAAGATAAGGTAAGATAAAGGGGCCTAAATGTTTTCTAAAATATAACATGTGGCCTCGAGTTTTAGAAGCTCGAAATCTAATTTTTTTAAAGATAAAAATTATTGTTATTCATTGGAATAAAATTGAGGATACTAAAATAGAGTACAATAGCAAAACCAACTCAAACAGGGTATACACAGAGCCGTCCAAGAGGCCAAGCAAGGCAAGCTGGTGCTTGCGGCCTTCAAATAATATAGATAAAATCGGCCTTAAATTTTGTAAATGCACTTGTAGTCTACTGGTTATGACTGTTGTATAAGTGTGAGAGGTGAGGAGTTCGAATCTGTCTAGCTCCATCTTCCACTTTTTTTTGCTTCCAGCCTTTAAATCTTCAGGGAAGGCTCTAGGTATACACAACCTTTAAAGAATGACAGTGACTCTAAAACCAGAGCCATATAATATTCATGTATTTGTTACGTTTGTTCTAGACTAACAAATACAATTAACAAGATGGAGTTCTTTTCTAGAGCACTCAGCAAAATTTTTTTTAAAAAGAACATGAATATGTTTTGACTTCTTGTTATATCTCCTGTTCATTATAGGTAAGCTATGCATAAAAGGATCAAGTACCCTAAAGATGAACTAATTAAGAAATAAAATATCATATTAATAACTATTAATTTTGAAACATAAATATTTATACCATAGTTTTCCTATATATATATGCTATGCGTATTTAAAATTTTATTAGTAAAAAACCAAAATATTAAAATACGTGATACAATCGCGATACAACATAAATTATTATGTTATATGTCCCACAAATAAAAAATACAGTATTATGATATAATCAATGCAAGTATAATGAAAGGGACGAGAATGTCACATTATTACAAGCAAATAATCATTTGTGCTGTGCCAGCTTCTTTACACAACTCGCCACGAAACCGACTTTGAAGTTCATTTTTAAAAAATCTTATAACGAAACCGTCAGTCAAACTATAATATTCCCAAACCTCAATAGTCGATTTCCTCAAGTAACAAACTTTACTTTTTTTTTTTTTTTTTTGAACTTTTCACTTCTATATATATACATAACATTCCCAAATTTTGTTCCAAACATCTCTCTTATCAACTCATCAGAAATTTTCGATTTTTTTCTTTTCATGTACTATACTACTATAGTATTGTGGTATATAGTATCGTAACAGCTTCTTTTAGTTTTTTCTTGTTGATCATCATTAGGCATGACGGATTAACAACAAATCACTTGTTTTAACTATTAATTGATATATAATTTGACGACTAAACTAATCAGCAGATACCGAACCTCCGGATAGATGATGACTACATGGAGCAATTGTCGTGATGTCCATGTATTGGGGTATACATAATTAGTTATTTGTCTTATTGGAATACGAATTCATAAGTATAGTTTATGACAAATATTGCAACAACTGATAAGTTTTTATGGTTGCAATTATATGGTTGTTGTACATGTGACATTAACTAAAATTAAAGAGAATGTCCAAAACTTAAATCCATTATTTTTTTCCTAAGTCCTTTAAAACATTCTCAATCATATGAAAGTCTTGTTAATAATATAAAAGTCCAAAATATATATATTAGGGATAGAGCCAAGTGGGTTTTTAAAAGAAAACCCGTTTTTTTTATTCTTTCATAGCATAATTTATAATGAACTATTTCATGAAATTGACTTTTGCATTTCTTTCAAAATCAAAATCGGCAAGAAAATGTAATCGAACTAGATTAGGATAGAATTACACACCTAATCCACCATGTAAATTGATTACAATTCTACTATTATCGACTTAGCTGGATCAAATTTTCAGCATATCTCATACACATCGTATATGACATTATAAAATTCACAACATGGCAAAGGAATGTTTACAAAGTCGCTCGCACGCCTTTGCAAACGTTTCAAAGCTTTATTATATAAATAATAACATAAACCTTTGACTTTCTAATTTATTCGGCATATTCATGGATGTATTAATTTTATAGTCTCTAAATTATTTTTCTACGGTTGATGTTCGTGTATGTATATATACACCTTATGGTTGATCTCAAAGACTCACAATCATTTGCACAAGAAGTTATATAAGCCAATACAAAGAAGAAAACTCCTAATCCCAAATAGAATGATGAAGTTTTCTTCTCTTCTAGTGTTTTTCTTTATTTTCCCGATCGCATTTGGTCAACTTAGAGTTGGGTTCTATAGCCAGTCATGCCCACAAGCCGAGACTATTGTACGCAACCTGGTGCGCCAACGGTTTGGTGTTGACCCAACCGTCACCGCCGCTTTGCTCCGTATGCATTTCCACGACTGTTTCGTTAGGGTAAGAATCTAATATAGCAATTTTGATATAGCTCAACATGCCCAGGGAACGGTTTAACAAATCTGTGGCTCAAAGTGGCTTAAACTTGTATAGCTTTTAACTTTAAGTTCTTAAGTTAAACTTGTATAGCTTAAATTTGAGACAAGAACATAAGCGGAAAAAAGACCAAAAATATTATCATTCAAATTTGAGACTCAAGATAAACTGTATTGCATACTTGTATATTAAATGCATATGTTAAGAAATACTCATAAATTTAAGCAAATTTCATATCATTTTGTCTGGGTAATCTTATTCTAATATTTTTTGTTTTGTAGGGTTGTGACGCATCTCTCCTCATTGATGGAACCAATTCCGAGAAAGCCGCTGGACCAAACGGAAGCGTGAGAGAATTTGACCTTATCGACAGGATCAAGGCTCAGCTAGAGGCTGCATGCCCCTCCACAGTCTCATGTGCCGACATCGTCACATTAGCCACACGTGACTCCGTGGCCTTAGCCGGAGGCCCGAGCTACAGCATCCCCACGGGAAGGCGCGACGGTAGGGTCTCAAACAATGTGGACGTGGCATTACCGGGTCCAACAATCTCGGTCTCCGGAGCCGTGAGTTTCTTCACCGTCAAAGGGATGAACACGTTCGATGCTGTGGCTCTTTTGGGTGCACACACCGTTGGTCGGGGAAACTGTGGTCTCTTCAGCGACCGAATCACTAATTTCCAAGGAAGCGGACGACCCGATCCATCCATGGACCCTGCTTTAGTTACAAGGTAATTTGAGGATGATAAAACAAAAAAAAACAGTTTCACATTCAATAAGAAATATTTTATTTAACTCATAAAAATAATATTCTGATGTTTTCTTGTTTTTTAAATATAGCCTAAGGAACACATGCAGAAACAGTGCGTCAGCAGCCCTAGACCAGTCGACTCCATTGAGATTCGACAACCAATTCTTCAAGCAAATCCGTAAAAGAAGAGGAGTGTTGCAGGTTGACCAACGGCTCGCAAGTGACCGACAGACTCGTGGCATCGTGGCCAGGTACGCTAACAACAACGCCTTCTTCAAGCGTCAGTTCGTTAGAGCGATGGTGAAGATGGGAGCCGTTGATGTGCTTACCGGTCGTAACGGTGAGATCAGGAGGAACTGCAGGAGATTCAACTGATGATCGTGAACATTACACAACAAAGGTATGGAGATAATATTATTACATTTGAAACATATAGTTTCAAATCCTATTTATATTTTTGGTTTTGGTTGGGTTTTTTATTGCATAAATAAGGCTTTGCTTAAATTGGATGTTTTCGATTTTTGAGAAAGATTACTATATATATTATAATGTTGGTCTGCATTTGGAGGATGTATCTTAACTATACGATTATTTTGTGGCATTGACAATAATGAATGTACCTTATCATGGTTATATATATATTTTTATTTTGTATAGTCTTGTTTTGTTCTCCGATACGGTAAGAGAGTGAGATATTGGCTTTTCAATAAAGGATTAATGTTTATATGATATGAAACGATCTCACATTATAAGCAAAAAAAATGAAGTAAAATACAGACAAAAAAAATATGTATATGGGCTTTAATTGGGCCTGTTCACTGTCCAACACCTTTTAGATGAATACAATTTCTTTTGATTAAAAAGATTTAAATACACATCTACAAATTTTGTACTTGAAACTCACGTGTCTTAATATAATACCAAGAAGCTTAAAACCTACATATAATAATGTTAGCACTAATAATAATGTTAGCACTTAGTTTCCAAACTATATGATAAATGCATGAATCTCTAGTAATTGACCGTTTATATAATGCAAATCAAACAAAAAGGTTGATTGGGATTTAGCCTTTTGGCACTTCTTGTGATTGCTAATCATTCAAGTGCGTGACACATCAGATGCGCTTAAACCAGATCAGATTAATGTTTTATTTTAAAATTTATAAAATTAAATATTATTGATGTTTAAAGTTTTCTGGTATGGTAAGAGTGAGAAATTTGGCTTTTTAGTGAAGGATTAATGTTTTTATGATACGAAACTCTCACATTATAAGCATCAAAATAAGTAAACAAGAAGAGCGATCGTCATGTGTTTTGTCAGGATATATGCATATTAAAAATACAAATGATATGATTATATATATATATATATATGTGTGTTCTCTCTTTTCTGTGTTCTCTTTCTTTTCCTCTATAACTTTTGTCGTCTTCCTCCTAGTTATTTTTTAGTGTCCCTATGAGTGTGCTCTTAACAAAGCACAACTTGCTTCTTATTCGTCAGCCCTATTAGCTAATTATTCGTAATCTAACTTACAAAAGTTCATAAAGGTCATAAAGGAAAAAACGAAATATTCCCTTTTTTTTTGTTACAAGTACGAAAGAGAGATCAAATGAAATTTTCCCGGTAATGTTTTACATTATGTAGTGACCAACCTTAAGTCTTTTTTTTTTTGGGTTTGTTAATGGTTGATTGAATTGCTAAACAATGAATAATTGTACAAAAACAGAACCTTATATAATTATTATTTACACAGTAATTACACGATGCCATCACCTTTCAAGTGATCATCAAATCATACATTGATACCTATAATCATATATATATAATAAAGAGGTGAGTCCGTACATGTTACAGAGAGCAGGACCACACAAGGAAGGTTTCAGAAGAAAGAAGAAGGGCTCAAAAGTCTTACAAGATTTTGGTCTTCAGGACCACAAAGAGAGAGAGATAAAAGTGGCTTAAGGTTAACTTTTGTGATCCTCGTACTGTGTCTGTCTGCCCAACCCCTAGCTAGGGGTCTATTACTTTATATTCTTACTACAATATACTAAGACTTTTACCATTGTCAATCTTGTATTTTTCCAATACGATGATGACGTATTGTGTGGGCAGCATAATCAGTAAAAGGTCCGTATCCTACAATAACTTATCTTAAAGACTCTCTTTTAATCGTTTTAGAAAAAAAACTAATGACGCTCTTTAACTATAATTGTAATTACAATTACTCTGTTTTGAGGTTTCTTTATCGATCGGTGGATGCCTTCATCATTATATTTCAACAAAGAGATTTTTAAGTTGCAAACCTAAACCGTCCCAAAAGCCACTTTGGGGATCAATGAGGTTTAAAAGTAGATAGAGATCGTAATATGTGTGCCTATGTGAATACAATATAGACCATATCTAACAATTAAAAAATGAAGAGAAAAGAACAAACAGCTTGGGAAGTTATAACAGACAAGTAATACCCAGTTGTATCAAATCAGTCACACTCAGTGATAAAATAATTATTTGTGTTAAAAATATTTGTCGAATCTTTTATCTTCTAATATACATGATGTAAGAAAAGAAAAGAAAACAAGAAACAAAAGGCTGTGTACATCAGACGCAAGTTATGTAGCTGTTGGTGATAACCCTTTTATGCAACAAGTCACGGGAGTGTTCTCTGGCTTTTTCCTGCTGTGTTTGAGAAAACTTATAAGGTCTTTCGAGACCCTTCATGTGTCATATGTAATAATCTATATATCTAAATCCAAGTGTCCGAGTTTTCTTTTTTTTTTTTTCAGAAAAATATTACAACATCAATTATAAATCCTCGATCATACATTTACCTCTACGTGTAAAATGACGTTGTAGATCCAAAGGAAGAAGTTTTATGCCTAATCTCACATTCGGGCGGGTTATATTATAATATACTAACAATCATCTTTTAAGTATCAAAATAAAATTACAGAAATTATATATATACTAGAAATAAGATTAGGAAATTTCAGAAAAGGAAAAAAAATGCTTATTATATATATAACCTGATCGGTTATAAGTAAATTAGAAGGGTACTCCATGTGAGAAGTAAGAGAAAGTACAGAGAAACTAGAATTGTATAATAGTATTTTTGAGGTAGAGATAAACAAAAACAAAATCCAGATGAAACAGCTAAGCAAGTAAACATAGATCGTCAAAAACCAGAATGCATCTGAAAGAAACAGATTGTCGCCTATTGTATCGTTCAAAGCTCTTACCCTTTTTACGTAATTTTATATTTTGCATACGTACGTCCAAGCACCCTTACCAATACATACATACGCATACGGTACACGGACAACTTTTAATTTGTTGTTAACAGTCAAAAAGCTAAGGAAGTATTTAAAAACAACACTCTCCTTCTGGCATTTTTATTTTTTTAGCTAGACATGTTACAGAAAACTTATTTTGTATCTAGCTATGTTCCTCCATGGATCAACTAAGATTCATGTTTAGTGACGCAGGATTAATTGTGAGTTCTAATTTAGTAAACTAGACTAAATTATCTACTACCTATTGATCAAATAAGTAATTCTCGTAGATGTTGACTAACATGACAAATTGTTGTGTATAAACTTAATTAAAAACAATATATAGTTTGTCAAGTAGAAGTCAGACTAGAGTGCTTATATCTGAAGTCATTGGTTAACAATGCAAACGTTACCTTGGAAACCTAAATTCAAAGGTGAAACAAAATCTCTTAAGTATCTATTTCCTGTCATTTTTTATTATTAGTTTATAAAATTCTCGACCAAACTATGATGTACATTAAATAACGCTTCATGATTCAGTCTACTACTACAAGAATCAAACGATCGATATAATAACGTAAGAATAATCAACGAAATACCATAATTAAATAAGTTAGTTTCTCTATTCAACATTAAATAACTCTTTCATTTTAACCCCAAAAAAAAAAAAAATTAAACCAAAAAGAATAACTCTTTCATTTTCATGTATACAAACTTTTTCCTTTGACCAAAATAATTCATACGACTTTTTACAAGTAAAATATATTTAAATGACTCTATAATCTAGATAGTGTTGACCTCCGGCTAGTGTTGTCCCGTATATATATATATATGTGCGTGAGGAGTTCAAAAACTTGTCTTATGTCTTATCACTAGATATCTCAATCTAAGACAACTTTTTTACTTGACAAACAAAATCTTTTTTGGCTTCTGTTGCATGGCGTCACGATTATCTTTTTCCACATTTGAAGCAACCAGGCCCGCCCAAGGTTTCGAATAATTATGTGCTATTCAATTATTAATTTATAAATAGCTTATAACTTTGATCATATTTACAGCAGAAAGCAAGACAATCATAACCGGTATTTTCCCATGTAATTAATTTCCGGTTTGGGCCTACAAAGTACGAACTTTTAACATTGTTTTTTCTAAATGTCACAAATTTAATCATACGACGGATAGTATACTAAACTAATTGTTGTTTACTACCTTCGAATTCTCATTATTAGATACAAACTAGTTCTTAGAACAAATATGTATGAGTATGACGTAGTTTACTTTTATATGTTTGATAAGAATCCATCGTTTCACAGTAACCCAATTGGATATTTTTCTCATTACTAGATTTTGCTATTGGATTTTAAATTATATTGACATTTTTGTGACTATGCCGTTTCATCAACAAGATAACACTAACAACAAGTTTTATCATCAACTCAAGATTGAGAAAAATGCGAACCAAGTTTGTTTTCCACTTAATTGGTCTAGTTAATGCATAATGTATATTACCAAATGTTATGCAACCTCAATTTTTTAACTCGTCTAGCCTCTCGGGAATACGTGTTAACATATTGGACCGTACCCTATATAATAATATTTACCCTATATAATAGTATTTATATATATAAGTGAGAACACTCCAATAGTGTAACTTAATATTTAAGGAAAACAAAACGAAGATTCATCTCCTATAAATCCATTACACAAATCTTCTTCACTCAAGGCACCACACAGTCTCCTTTGTTTTTACTTAATATCCATAGTCCGAGAAAAAAAAAAAAAAACATATTCTTGATAACAAATGGATCAAGAAAGAGCAACGCAGAGCCCCTCAACTTCTACGGAACCTGTCCGGTCACGCTGGTCACCTAAACCGGAGCAAATCTTGATACTCGAATCCATTTTCAACAGTGGTATTGTAAACCCACCAAAGGACGAGACGGTGAGGATAAGAAAGATGCTAGAAAAATTCGGTGTAGTGGGCGACGCAAACGTCTTCTACTGGTTTCAAAACCGACGATCAAGATCTCGCCGGAGACAGCGGCAGATTCAAGCCGCCACCGCCGCAGCAGCCACCTCAGGAAGAGCTGAAGACCTCCAGCACATGACGGCCATGAGCATGCATCAATATCCATATAGTAACAGCGAGATTGATTTGGGATTTGGAAGTTGTAGCAACTCGTCAGCTAATTATTTCCTTAATGGAACTTCGTCGTCATCTCAGGTCTCTTCTTTTTTACTCGGACTCTCTTCATCAAGTGGTGGGTGTGAGAGCAACAATGGCATGGAGAATCTTTTCACAATGTATGGGCCGTATGGCCATGAATCTGATCACCATCTGCATAGCTCAAATGCTCATTCGGTTTTATCCCTATCTGATGAAAACTCCAATTTCCAATACCAACAAGGTGAATCCTTCATTTGCATGGCTCATATTTTTTTAATACCATAAAATTTTGGGGTTTTAGATTTTAAGTAGGTAAATCAAACTTTGTTCTAACCATTTAGGTTACACATATTTGGATGGCTCATGTTATATATATATTTGGAAGTGTAAAAGAAAAAGAAAAAAAAAAGCCATGTTTTTAGGTGGGTTTCAAAATTTAATTTTTTCAACTTATAAGAAAAAGTTAATATTTATGCGTAAACATCTTGGGTTTTGAGAGCGAGCTCTGAAATATTTGTTTTGGTCTTTATATAATTTTTTTTGTTGCTTTCTCTTGAAAGGGTTAATAACGGTGTTTATAAACGGAGTTCCGACGGAAGTAACAAAAGGAAGAATAGACATGAAAGCAACGTTCGGTGAAGGTTCGGTGTTACTACATTCCTCTGGTCTTCCTCTTCCCACTGATGAGTTTGGTTTCTTGCTGCATTCTTTGCAACATGGCCAATCTTATTTCCTGGTAACTACACTTTAATTCACTTTATCTTTATATATGATATATATAACTATATACAATATCTAATTTTTTGAATATGAACAAAGTGCTGGTTAATATTTTTGTATAATGATTTCCAGAATTTTTTTTATTTTTTGTTTGTTCGAAAAAATCATTAATTTATAATTTAAAGCATATTTTATAAACTATATTTTATTTAATACGTTAGATGATGCGCATTTCAAATTAGAGTGTGTGAAAATGGGCTGGAGCATGAAAACTAGTTCTGGTAAAGTCCTAAATGTCTGCTGAAATTAATCTCCAGAACCCATCTCACCCGTTACTCTATAACATAAAATATTTCTGCAGACAGTATATAATAAAACATAAATCAGTTTGATGATTGTCAGTTTATGTAATAAGAATGGATATCATTTTGTAGAAATTATTATCTTTAACTGAAGTTTTGTGATTTAATTAAGCTTTACGAATTGTTGTCAGCTATATGAGTTTTTTTTTTCTTAAACTTCCAAATATAGTATATTTAATTTCGAAATTTAAAGAATATAGCCAGCCAAGAGGTAAGAAAACAAGAACCAATAAAATCCGAGTAATTATGCAAAACTATTTGAGTATTTTATTGAGTTCATTGGCAAAAGAGACCTTGGGAATTTATATTCCCTCTTGATCGAATACACACACATATATATATATAGACGACTGTGGCGTCAACATTTTCAGATTTTCTAGAAATATAAAAATATTTCTCGTTAGGGTTTTTCAACAATGTCCTTAATTAATTAATCAAATTATGGCTACTTCCCTAATTATAATGCTGTAACTACATATTGCCTAATTGTACATCTGTTTTTTTTTTTGTTCTGTCATTCGACAGGTACCGAGACAGACATGAACTAGCTATATATCTTGTGTGGCAACAACATATACGGTCGATTGTTTATTGTTTTTCCTTACGTCTCTATTGATTTTTGTGTCTATCTATCGTGTATAATTTAGATTTAATAAATGTTGGACTCGATCGCCAGATATTTTGTTTTCTTGTCGATTCTTGCTTGCCTTAACCCAAACCTTTATCAACAAAAACAAGCCAAATCCTATTTGGAGATCTAGTTTGTGGAAAATTATGCCCCTTGAACTTGAAATGTATAGCTATAATCGAAAAATATTAAACTGAAAGGTTATGCTTATCTTGATTTTAAATGTAAATCTATATGCTAGATCTTAATCAGTACATTCCTAAGGATAAAATTCACAACACTTCCCAAGCACTGAAGCACATATATACACACACAACATGAGTCTAATGCGATGTCTTCGGATAAGTCAGCCAAGTAGGCTTATTGGGCCCTTAGAAATAAAAGTTTAAGTCTGTTTAATGGGTTTCTTTTGTATATTTGTGCCCAACTATATATGGCTGGTATAGTTGAACGGACACTAGGATCCGACACGAGCCGAGTAGTTGTGATTTTCAGTTTAAAACAATACTCGGTTTTATACAGTCAAGAGTCGACACATCTATAATCCCTATATTAGTAAAAGATAAGTAAAAAAAATGTTTCCGGGTCAATTTCAAAAAATTATCCGAAATTTGTAATTGTATCTTTTAAATTTGGATAGACTAATGGGTTTGGATACATACACCGAATACTTTCCAAATCTAATTTTAGGATTGTATTATTTCCATAACTAATTATAGGATTTACTAATATTTCTCTAACTAATTTAATACAATCTATTTAAAAAATATTATTCTTCTTTCACTTTTATTTGGTATTATTTTTAATTTATGATATTATACTATATAATATAAATATTTAATAAAAATTTAACTTTTTTTGCATATGTTGCAATTTGAATTTTTCAAAACGGACATATAATACTCAGCTACACTCGGTTAAATATTTTAGACAATGGTTTAAAATCAATATAACTATGACCAATATTAAAACCATTGTTACATGAGCATATTTAAAATTTCAAATAGTTTCAAAATATTATAAATAAAAGGTTCAAATATATAAAACTATTAGAATTTAAAATATTGAAATATTTTTTTGAAGACATAAATGTAATTTTGGAGACATAATTTTTATTGATAAAATATATTATATATCAAACTATGTAAATTTTAGATAATTCACGGGTAGTTTGCTAAAATCACAATTATAATGATAAAACAAGTTACGAATAATGTTTTTTACGAAATGAATTCTGTTACGGGTTGGACTTTAAAAAAATATATTGTAAATATGTAATTTTTACGTATATTCCTACTTTTACTACAAAAATGGTCAAAATGAATAATTTATCGAAAAATATTATTTCGTGCTGTTAAATTTTCACTGTTTTTTTAATTGTATCAAAACTTAGTATATGATTATTTACTCGCTTTTTCCTTTATTATTTTATTTAAACTTATTATACAAATATATGATTTACCATAATCGACTGCACTCTAACAACATTAAAATGTAACATTCTAATCCTTTAAAAATTATATATTGTAATTATTTCCCCCGCGCTGTAGCGCGGGTCCGAACCTAGTAGTAACTATAATATTTTATCAATAGATTATCATATTATTTATAATGATGATGTATAACAGATGACAGAAAAAAGGTTTCTGAATATGATTTACATATTATGAATAAAATCTAACAGGTTCCGTATCAATGCAATTTGCTGTAATTTATTTTGTTTTATTTGGGTAAAAATGTTGTAATTTATTACCAAAACTTGATAAAAGCTTGTGATATACTACCATAATGATGTAACTCACCTGATTCCATTTTGTGACGTTTTTTATATTAAAAGATGCAATTTTTGTGTAAACATATTCTAATTATACTGGAAAGAGATAATTAATTTTATATTCAACTTTTATTTCTTGACTTTTAGGAAATTACTATTAAGTTATTATTATTTTTAGTTTTTATGTTTTCCCTCATACCCCGGCTTATTTCTTCCAAATCCCAAATTTAAGATGTTAAACAAACATGCCTAAAATTAACCAGGAAAATATATAGAAGAAACTAAAGCCATATTTTTATATCACAGTTCACCCTCATCATTGAGCCCTAGTTCTGCAAACTAGCTAATTAAATCAAGAAGCTCCAACTCCAAGAAAATCAAAGAAGTAAAAGCCACTCTTCATCTTCTTCTCCACCTTTCTTTCACTGACTGTGATTGTGTGGTGATTTTGATGGTCCATCTTTTTACCATATATGCCATTTACTTCTGCTCTCTGCACACACTGACCATCTTTACCTGCAAGATTAGAAAAACAAATAATTTCTCAGCCCCCACGTGAAATTTTCTTGTATTGAAATAGTAACGTGACAATAGTACTTCACCTCCTTATATTATTAAGCCTATAGGTACTCTTACGATGTAAATAACGTATTCTTACTCTCTTGTCATTCATATTTATAATTATTGCCATATTTATGAAAAACAATAATATAAGAAGTGGTCACTCGTCGTCGGTTATACAGCATGTAGGCCAAAATTATCATTTAATATGCTTTGAACGTTAAAAACAAACCCCTCTAATCTTAACAACACTAGAATCTAAGCTAAATTTAGACCACAAATCATAGTTGCTACGTATACCGGTTTAAGTATAAACATATCATGATCAACGATACTCCCACTAAAGATTGTAATCTGATCTCGACCAACCGACCGAAATCATTATAGTTAGATTCACGAAAACACTTCTCAAGAAAACCAAAAAGAGAAAAAACATTCCAAGTTTCTATACCTTTTTAATATCTCAAGGTCAATACAGACAAAACAATAATAAAAACTATATAGTAAAAAGATGAAACGGGTAAGCAAATAAAATAAAATGTTACCTGAGGCAAGGGTGTTATCGTAATTCAAGAAGCGAGGCTGGTGAGCCGAAGAAGGTGGAGTAAGAGAGAGCTCCGTGGTGCAAGTAGAGACAGCTGAGCCATCGTCGTCATCTTCATCATCTTCTTCATTGACAAAACTACCCTTCGCTACGTTACCGAAGAACTCCCGACGGCACGAGGACGAAACCGTCATCTCAGCGTCTCTTGACGGCGCTGCCAGAGGAGGCTGTTGACGTTGTCGTTGGCTTTCTCTACTCCGTCGAGCCATGATGACGTGCCAATGGTTCTTGACGGCGTTATCGGTACGACCCGGGAAGAGACGTGAGATCATAGCCCACTTGTTGCCATAGGATTGGTGAGCAGCTAAAAGCCTAAACTCTTCTTCTTCCGTGAAGGCTCTCTTGTTAATCCTTGGGTCGAGTTGGTTAAACCATCTCAATCTACAACTCTTGCCTGTATATCAAAGAAGCAACATTAGTTACGTACGTACGTATCCTTCATAATATATTAATTAGTTACTATCAACCTTTATGTCACTAGCCAATGTATAATATTATTTATAGCCGTATATATCACTGATTACATATTAGAAAAATATTCACAAGAAAAAGAAAAAAAAAACACTTACGGTTACGAAAAATGCTTAGTAATTTTGGAAACTCAATTTTACCAAATTGTTTATATTTCTTGGCTTATATAGTTAATTTTCTTCTACTTGAGAATATTTGTTTTAAAATACGTACAATACTTACATTTACGGAATTTTTAGTATGAAAAGTGAAGGAAATAATTAAGTAAAACAAAGAAAAAAATAAGTAAAAATAAATGTACCTGATCTACCAAGAAGGTGGTGAGCAATCAAGTTCCAGTTCTGGGGACCAAACTGGGCAACAAGCTCCTTGAGTTTAGCATCTTCTGTTGGTCTCCAGTGTCCTCGTGAGCATACTTTTGTGTTAATTCCATTTTTACCCCTCATTCTCATTCTCTTATCGTTTTCACCCTTGTCTTTCTCACCATGTTCATCTTCCGGCTCGAGGACTGAGGCTGGTTTGTTGTTGAGAGGATGGTTCCTAGAGAGAGAGAGGTTGGTGAGGGAAGTTTTACGAGAAGCCGCAGTGTGTGAGTTTGGTAGAGATCCGAAGTTGTTTGCGTTTTCGAATCTTGATCTTGACCCATTGATTGTTTCATTACCGGCCACTAGATCTTTCTCAAGGAGATATGGATTCATTTTTCTTCTTCTTCTGAGTTTCAAGGGATTAAAGGAAGAGAAACAAAGAATAGCTAGGAGTGAGATAGAGAGAAGGGAGAGCACTTGAATGGCTTTTCACTGTTTATATGGTGGAAGAGGAAAGAGAGATTCTCTAAAATATTTTAAATTGAAGTATATTTGACTGACAATTTATTTTTACAAGTTAATAAATATAAGAATATTTAATAAATAAAAATGATGATGAGTGGTTCTTAAATGTTCATTGAAAACAAAACTGATATATAGCTGTTTATTCATTCACACACCTAAAGAAAATGTAAGAAAACTTTTATAACAGCATATCCAATCAAATATTGTGTTAAACAATTATCATTTCAGCCTAATGATCCCAATTAAAATGGTTTTTTCTTGGTTGTAAACAATGGGTTTATACAATTCTGTACGTGCGACCGATGGTAGTATAATATATGCATCGTTCTTATAACTTTCAAGCTAGGCATGTAAACAATTTGTCATCGTTTTTTATATGTATGTGCTACTTGTTAACTTTTGTTCGGACAGTTAGAAATTAGAAAGATTTGAAGGTTCACGTTTTCCTTCACGTTGCACTCTAAATTTTTCTGTTTAAACGAAAATTTCGAATAATGAGAAACTTTTAGTACAACCCTGCAACTAATCACTCTCTCACTACACGTGCAAAAGTAAGGCTTTGGAAAAGTCGGTGGGTACGTGTAGTGTAGATGCATGCAAAACGAGAGAGAGAGAGAGAGAGAGAGGGAGAGCCACTCGTGCGTGTGGAGGGTTCGATGACCATTTTAGGTCCCACAGTCTTTCAACAGTCTCGGAAACTCCAAAAAACATTTTTGAACCGCTCGTGTGGCTCTCTCTACAACTACACTACTATATACTATACTTATGCACACATACAGATATTGCACGTACGTACGTGTGTGTGTGTGTGAGTTAATTATGGGAAAAAACAACAGAATCAAATTTTGTCTGTTTCGGACACAAAGCAAGAAAAGATCTTAAAGGGTGTGAAATAAATTGCTTTTATGAGAGCTTTCTGTTCTCCCATAACGTATATCTCTGTATATATATATTCCCATGTTTCAAATAATTCGTCTTGTGTATAGTTAAATAATTATAAAGTAATCATCATGATTAGCTCAACAACTAGTTCAAGTACTTCAAAATCTTTACAGTTAGAATGAATGGTTCGACATCGTTTCGGATATATTCAGTGACATTCGAGCAGTGTTATTTTTTTTTTTCGTTTAACTCTGAAACGATTGATTAAAACATCTTTAACAAACAAGGAAACTGTTGAATTGGTTTAAAAGAATTACGGAAAATAAAATTAAGGTATGAAAATGCTAGAGAAAATAGTTTTACTTGTTTGAGACAACTGAAAGTAAAAAAAGAAGAAAATGTGAATGGTGGAGACTGAAAAGGGTTCAATTAATTTCCTTTAGAGCTAAAATAATGAAAAGAAAAATCAACTCTACTGATGAAGACCATTATTAATTCAATGATATGGACCATTTTGCTCCCATTAAACCCTATAAGTCGTATAGACTTTAGATTCTTTACATTAGAAATTGAGTGGTCATTGGTTTTGAATGTAATAATGATCTTTCATGTATAAACAACTTACTCCATAAACTTGAGATGACGATACAACCACATACTTTTTTTATATGGATTAAACTAGAGAGATGTAAAAGAGAAGTCATCATGTAACCGAAACTCCAAGTAGAATAAAATTCAAAACAATAAAATTAAAGGGGTGAAGAAGAAAACAAATACTAGCTATAGTAGTACATCACACGAATAAACGTTAGAAAACCCAAAGAAACGACAGAAAAGTACCCAAAGATATATATTTATTGTGTCTTGTTTCTATGTGAGTTTCGGTTATAGGAACGGTTTCGTTAATATATATTTGAAAACTTTGTGTGTTGACGACAAAAAACCCCAAAGAAAAAAGTTGTGAGAGAAGGAAGTCTTTGTACCGACGTGGAATGACGACATCATTGGCTGTTACACACGAGCGGATCGTGTTCTTACCTAACACGTGTACCGTCCTCACGATTTTGTGCGTCCGGTTCCAAAACTGAAAAGTTCCCCGAACCGTTATGGACCAATTCCACTAATGACGTTTTCTCACTTTTGTGTTGTTGTTACATACTAATCATATTTTTATATATCCACCATGGAAGAATTTAAGTTTTTGGGCTGTAAATATGTAAGATTTGACTACGGTAAGACGGTAACTACTAACACGGTGATCTAATGGAAATCGATAGACCAAAAGATCCAGCTGCATATTGAATGGCTAACAACATGATTGCCTTTGTCTTCATAGTTGGGGGGTTTCGTTCTCTCTACGTAGTTCGTGGATATATCATGTTCGTCATTTGATAAAGTCGTCGGTGAGGTTTACGAAAATCGTTTTTTTTTTTTCTCTTTTGAAAATAAGTTTCAGCTTTAATTTTATGTGATGCTGACAACAACAAAAGTTTATATCGCCTCAACCAATATGGTTAGTGGTTTTCATCGGTCGAACCGTCGAAGTAATTGATCGACCAAAAGAATCAGACCATTGGTTAATTTCTAACATTCGCACTAGCTTGTACCATTCTTTTAAATGGAATTGTGTTTTCTTTACCTTATCCTTTTTTCAATTTTAATAATCAAATTTTTTCCAAGTTTAAGCCAATCTTTCAATAGAACCAAACAAACAATGAAACAAACAAAAAAAATGTGGAGAGAAAAGGTAAAATCGAAACTCCAAATGCTAAAAACATTGTTCGTGCATGTAATCATGATTCATGAGATAAGTCACACTAATTACATATAAAGAAACTTATTGATTAATTTTAAAGAAGACACTTTAACTAATTTGAGGAATTTAGGGCTTTATCTCATGATGTAATGACATAAAGTCTCTTTATTTATATATTGAAATTTTAATTACAAATCATGTCAAAGTTGTTAGCCGGTCCATTGCACTTGTGGCATAGAACTAAACATATCACATCAGCGTATAAATTTTAGTAATTAAATTATTGATAAAAATACAATTTAAGGGGAATTAATGATGTTATACATTACGGGGTACTAGCTAGATTGAAGTCATTATCAAGGCAGTTAATTGTCCACGTACTCACTAATATTTTACTCCATATAGTTCCAAACAAAAAATTTGGTTATTACAATTATAAATAGCTTAGTGTACGCAAAAGTATTAATCAATATAAACATTAAGTCAAAAGTTGACGGCAGTGATCGGCAACTAATCCACTCCCAACTTTAACTCACAGTGACTTCCACGTTCAAGAGAACTCATATATGTTATTCTCTCCCTTTCACCACCACCACCACTTATGTTTTTAATCTTCTTTACTTTATTTAACGTAGATTTTTTAAAGTTTATTTCTATTTAGGTTTTGTTATGTATTGTGGTTAAGTTTATATACTATAAAAGTTCTCTGAAACCAAGAAGTAATATATACATGCACGATTTTAGATCCTTGACACTGGTTTCTCTACATTGTATGTATAAGTGGGAAATTTATCAACGTAATTTAAAGTTTTAACGGCTTTAGTTAAGTAAAAAAAAAAAAAAAAATGTTTGCATGCGTGATGCGTATGACAACATTTTACACTTTTTTTTTTTAAAACACTTTCAACTTTTGAAGTCACGAAAATTGATGTCAAATCAAACGTGAAATTTAATTAAAAATATGCCGAATCAGACCTCCTTTAATTTTTGTTTCTTTGTTTTGCGTATAATTTGAAGATTTCAAGACGAAAACTCTTATGCTAATCTTTAAAACATGTCTCTGCTACTGTCTAGTATCTTACTGTAGGAAGGAGTACTGTTAGATTAGATTACTACCAGTTGGTTAATTCCACTATTAGTACGATTGCTTTTTAAAGAACATTGCATCCCATTTCACTGAAATACATTCTTATTTGTATCTGATTTCTTAAATAAATAGATAAACATGCCTCTGACACAGCTTTCTCCATTTAAATTTTGTTGTTAATGTTGTCTTAGAGCTCCGCAAATGATATACAAGACCTTAAGAGAATCTTCAAAACGCAACTCTTAAATATTAAGCCCAACTAGTACAAAAACACATAGGCTTACTTTTAAAATATGGGCCTACGCAAGGCCCATTTAGTTTTTTTTTTTTGGTTTCTTTTCTAAGCCGTCACACTCCACTTCTATCCTCCGCCGAGCGGTCACCGTCGAAGGAGGAGAGTGACGATGAACAACTCTACCAGACTCCTCTCGCTCTTCTCTCCTCCGCCTCCTCCTTCTCTCTTACTACTCCGTGGCCTCTACATCAGCCGCTTAACCAATCTCCGCCGTTTCCACCGCCGGGCGTATTCTCCTTCCTCTGTTGGCTCAACTAATCTTCGTTCTCTCCGACAACTCGTCTCTTTGCCGCCGCTTATTCCCACGTTTCCCATCGGACGGTTCTACACTCACCAAGTCCGTCTCTCCGCCGCCGCCGATTTTGTTCCTTCTAATCACCACCAGCTACCTGAATGGGTAGAGCTACTCCAATCTCTCTCTCAAGCTGGTTACTTGTCAGATTCCGGTTCAATTTCCGGTTCAGAAAACGAATTCTTTCCCGGTTTTCCTGATGAACTTCTCCCTCCAGCTCTTGCTTGTTTAGCTCTAGCTCGTGATCGACCTGAATTACTTGAGTAAGTTAGCTGCTGTTCGTGGTTTGTCTTTCTCTTCTTGATTGATTATTCATTCTGATGATGTTTACTGTTTATTAGAATGCTTTCGAGGAGAGACGTTGAAGTGGTGGTAGACAATGGAAAGCCATTTTTATTTAGGACGGGTCCAGATTCACTTAAAAGGATGAGCCTTTATCTAAGAAGTGGTCATCAGGGCATTGGTAATGTAAGTTCTTTTATTGGTGGATTGTGAATTCTCGTCTTCAATAGTGATTTCTGCCCCAATGGTTTGATTATTTGTGTTTCATATTAGATACTGGATATAGATAAGGCGAGTACAGTTGATTTGATGAGGCTTCTTCTGAGTTATGTTGTGGATGTTGCTTCTTCTGAAGGGAGCAAACACCACAACCAAGAGATTATGGAGTCATCGGTTCGAAACCTCTTGAGCCAGATAGCAAAGATGATCGTTCGTACTCCTGAGACGAATGTTCATGGCACAATGCAAAATCAGTTGTCAGATAGAAATGGACAAGTGTTCGGGTCTAAACAGAAAAACATTGAAATGAAACGTGGTGACTGGATTTGCTCGAGGTATGAATTTGGTGGATTCTCAGTAGCCTTTTAACGTATGGTCTGCTGGTTGCTATCTTGATTTCAAAGATATAAGAATAAGTTACCATTATAAAAAAATAAGGATCTGACTTCTGAGCTTTAATTAGTACATGACTAGTAATGTGGTAGAAAAATTGTATCTTTAGAGATAGAAGTCAGTAAGTTGTTACTATCTTTGCTTCATCTTGTTGTTGTTTAGGGAATCTATGTATGATGTGGGAATTTTTTGAAACAGGTGCAGTGGCATGAACTTTGCGAGAAATGTCAAATGCTTTCAGTGTGATGAAGCAAGACCAAAGAGACAGCTAACTGGTAGTGAATGGGAGTGTCCACAGTAAGAAACTAATTTGTTTCTTCTGCTGATTTATGGTTGATGCCATGAGGATTGATGAGTTTTAACAATTCCATTCTTTCTTGGTTGTTTCACCCATCAGGTGTGATTTCTACAACTACGGGAGAAATGTAGCTTGCTTAAGATGTGACTGCAAGCGACCCAGGGACTCTCTCAATTCATCCAAATCAGGTTACTCAAATGATCCTGAACTTGAGAGAAGACTGGTCGAAAATGAAGAGAAAGCACAGAGGTGGTTTAGTAAAGTAGCACAGGGTGGTTCTGATGCAAACAGTGTTGATACAGACGAAGATTTTCCAGAGATTATGCCTTTGAGGAAAGGAGTGAACAGATATGTTGTTAGCACGAGAAAAACACCTCTTGAGAGAAGGTTGGCTAATACTGAAAACAGTGTAGCTACAGATGGAAACTCGAATGGGAACGACAATAAGGTTTTGGGAAGAAAAACGCAAAGGAGCTTGAATGAGATTCTCGGTTCTCCATCTTCTTTGGCTTCTCGATCTGATGACAAAAATGTATCTTCCAGGAGGTCTGAATCTTCTCAGGCAATAAACACCAATTTTGTCCCGTTTGTGCCGCTACCGTCAGACATGTTTGCAAAGAAACCTGAGGAAGAAACACATATAAGTCTGACGGAAAACAACCAAATGGATAGTGTGTCAAGTGACAATCGAAATGTCTACCAGGAGGACAGGTCAAATGCAAATCTCTCTGGCGAAGAAACAAATCACCCTAAAGAGGATGATAAAGAATCAGAGGAGAAACCTGCAAGGTGGTTCAAGAGGGTCACCGAACTGCACAACGTTTCAGACCTTGAAAGCGCGACATCGGAAGAGATATCATCTGACAAAATGCCAATGCGGAAAGGAGAGAATCGGTTTGTGGTGAGTAGGAAGAAAGACCGTTCACTGACTTCTCCAGCGTTCAAGAGACCACAAGATTCAGATTTCGTCCCCTTTGTCCCTTTCCCACCTGACTATTTCGCCAAAGAAAAACAGCCCGAGCAAAAAATAGATACTAGTCCAGCTCCCAAGCCGAAAAGAGATACTATTCCAGCTCTGCCAACAGAAAACACTTCTCAGGTAGTAGAAGAAGAACGGAAACAAACTTCAAGCAACATCCCTGAAACAATGGCGGGGAGAAGCAGTAACAGAAAGAGCTTGGAGGGTTCGTTGGTGAGGGAGCCTGACTTGTTGGACATGTCAGAGGAAGCAAAAGCAGAGAGATGGTTTAAGCGGGTGGCTGAGATTAAGAACATATCCGAGCTAAGCCAGATCCCGGACGAAGATTTCCCATCGATAATGCCGATGAGGAAAGGAGTGAATAGGTTTGTTGTCAGCAAGAGAAAGACACCCTTAGAACGGCGTCTAGCTTCTCAACGACACCAGAGAAATCCTCAGATCACCGACTTTGATCCTGCCGGTGAAGGAGATAAATGACCTTGTAGCATAACATTTTTGTGGAGTAATATACAACTACGTTTTTTTGCATTTCTTTAGTTCAACATCTTTATATTATTTTCTTTTAAACATTATACAAAAAATGGGTAAAAACTCTTTTGTCCATCCTTACTCCTAAGTCCTGAGTGAACTATAGCATCCTTTAAAGTCGATGTGCTTCTTCTCTCCTCCTTCAACCAACACAACACAATAGGCCTACAACACAACACTGTTACCAGTTTGTAATACACAGACGACGAATTTAAAAGAAACTAGGCTTTCCTAATTTGGGCCCGGAAAGCTTTGCGGGCCTTATGCATACCCGTGAAATTTGCCGACAAGAAAAGAGAAACATAACTACGAATGCATGCATCTGGCTTAACTGACGATTTTATTTACTTTGGTAATAAATTCAAAACTTCTCTCTGTCTACGTGGCTTAACCACTCATCTCAAATTTCTCTTGCGCTCTAGATTCCCTCCGCTCCGCTTCTATGAGAAGATTCGGGACAGCCATCCACGCCGCTTTCTCTTCAATCGTCTTCTTCTTCTTCGACCTCATCGACGCGGTTCTCTGTATCGTTTACGAGTTCGTCGACGAGATTTTGGAGGGAAAATCCCGAGGCTGTTACTGCAAAACGTCTCCTCTTCATACCACCGGTGAAAATGAGTGTTCGGAGACTTTATTCCGGAGGAAGAACATTTTCCGGGAAATGTGGTTTCTGGGATACGCGAGAAAATTCAAATCCAAGCTCTCTCAGAAAATGAGAAAATCTAAGATTCATGAGTCGGTGGTGAATAGATGGTCAGATTGTGGATGTCAATCTTGTAATTCGTGGACTAAAAACGAAGATGAGAATCTTCACGTCGTGGTCAAAGATTCAACTTCTCAAGGTCAGAGATTTAACTTTTTTAGTATTTCTCTTCATCGTTTGATTAGTTTAAGTTTGCTTACAAATTTTATTTTATGTTTCTTGTTGAAGAAACAGAGGACTCTGTTAAGGGATCGTTCGAGAATGTTATATTCATACATGGTTTTATGGGTTCATCGCATTTCTGGACAGAAACAGTGTTTGAACACATTAAGAAAGATCGTTATAGGCTCTTAGCTGTTGACCTTTTGGGATTTGGAGAGAGTCCTAAGCCAAGGGATAGTCTTTATACATTGAGAGATCATGTTGAGACGATAGATAGATCTGTTATTAAGCCTTACGAGTTAGATTCGTTTCATGTGGTTGCACATTCCATGGGTTGCTTAGTTGCTCTTGCTTTGGCTGCTAAACACTCCAACATTGTTAAATCCGTCACTCTTGTCGCACCGGTGAGAGATTTGTTTGGTTTCTAAACTTATGTTTTTAGCCTAGTCCGCCAAGATCCGAGTTGTGAACTTGTGTTTGTGTGTGTGTTTTTAACATTTTTCAGCCTTATTTTCCTTCATCAAATGAAGAATCGGTTTTGAACCGGATCGCTCCAAAGCGGTTATGGCCGCCACTAGCATTTGGAACAGCGGTGATGTCTTGGTATGAACATATCGGTAGATGCGTTTGTTTCATAGTTTGCAAGCATCACATGATATGGGAGTGGCTAATAAAGCTATGTACGGGTAAAAGGTAAAAAATATTTGAAACGGTATTGGCGATTGTTTCAGTTTGAAGCTATCAAATCTTTTCAATAAAATTTTGTTTTTTGTTTAGGGAGACTCCTTGGAAGATAAAGGACATAACAAGGCACACACATCACTCGGCATGGCATAGTATGCACAATGTGATATGCGATGGATCTAAATTTGCTGATGAACATCTCGGAACCATCATAAACTCTAGTGTTGAGATTCACTTGATACAAGGCGACCGCGATGAAATCGTTCCTTCACATTGCTCCAGCAACATGAAGAGGAACTTTCCAGCGGTGGAAGTTGATATCGTCGCTGGTGCTAATCATGATAGTATGATAAGCGGAACAAGAGAAGAGTTTGCTGAGAAATTGGCCAGCATATGGTGTTCACGTAGAACAGGTTCAGTTATTTGAAACATTGAATCAATTCAGTTTCCTACAAAACCAAACAAGAAACAGGACTATAATGAAACTAAACTTGTTATTTCTTATTCTTCTCTTTGACCTGAAGTGATGGATGCCAAAATCGGAACACAAGCGAGGTGATAAGGCCACGGATCAAGCAAAGATACGATCGGAATCTTTTTGAGTGAGACCCTTGTCGTTAATGATATAACTTCTCTGAGAGACAAGAGTATTATATTGTCTTGTAACCCGGGGAAATTAGGTATTGAAACTGCCATAAGTTAATGACACTAACAAACTCAAGGACACATCCTCTTGCTGATCCTTTTCAGTTTTTCACCATTAACCCCTGTTCTTGGCCACCAAAATCTCAATCTTCTTTGTTGTACAACATTGTTCCAACGCTGAAAGTGAAAGCCCATATCTCCCTCTTAACATCCGCAAGAACTTGAGTATGTCAAACTTAACAAGAGATTAGAAAATTATAATAGTCTATTAAATAAGTCCAATGAATCTGAGATAGTCTCTATAAATTACTTTTTTACACAATGGGTTTGACTGGTAGAACAAGTTAGCATAAAATTGTTTTTTCCTCATCATATTTCATATAATTACCACTTTTTAATATACAAAATTGCACCAGTCACTCAGAGCAACCATGTGAGTCTAGTAGCGATCAAATTCACCAACCCCCATACGACTAATCAATCCTTCAATGTAGTGTCTTATAAGGTTTTAAATCACAACAAAATAACAGTCATATGATTTGACAATTGTGGTACATGAGTGATTGAAAACTATTTTCAACTATAAAAGAATTGTATTTTTTGGTCAAATATTTTATACAGTATACTATGTTGTAATTAAGTAACGTTTGAAAGTGGTAACTACAACGTGATTGTGGTAGGTCTACCAGATTCCATCCTCCTCATATTAATGGCGGAGATAACAAGGGAAAAAGACAACTCAAGCTCCAACTCCGAACCATTCCTAAAGCACTGATTTTTTTGTTTCCCTTATAATATTATTCTTTAGCAAGTTTGATTCTTTTCTTCTTCCTTTTGTTCCATTTTGGGTTTAGCCACCATGGATACCGAGTTTCTTCAAACCCTAGATCGTCAGATTCTATTTGGTGTCTTCGTCGCTTTCGTCGCCGCCGGCGCTGGTGCTGCTTATTTTATTTCTTCGTCCAAGAAACGCAGAGGTTCGATCTCAATTTTAAAATTTTTGATTCGTCTTTTTTGCTGGGTTTCCAATTCTCAAATGCGGTAGCTTACACTGATTTCAAATTAGGCTAAGTTTTTTTTGTTGAATTCATCTGTTTGGAAGGTTGAATTAGGAAAAAATTGAGCCTTTTAGATATTTCTGTTTCAATTGATCTACTTGAAGATTTTGTGTGATTTGTTGGTTTGTAGTGTGCTTGGATCCAGAGAATTTCAAGGAGTTCAAGCTTGTTAAGAAAGATCAACTTAGTCACAATGTGGCCAAGTTCATTTTTGAGCTCCCTACCTCTACCTCTGTCTTGGGTCTTCCCATTGGACAACACATCAGTTGCAAGTATGGGACTCTTTCTTCTCTTATTATCCTCTCTGTATTTGTTCATAATCTCTGGATATCTTAGATCCAATTTCAAAACTTCTGCAAGTTGCTAGATACTATGAACATACTCTTTTGTAGACTTTATGTTAGGCTGTGTTGAATTCCATTTTAGAGAGTTTCAATGGATGTTGTGATAAATATGTTGATTTTCTCAATAGGGGCAAGGATGCTCAAGGAGAAGATGTTATTAAGCCATACACCCCAACAACACTAGATTCAGACGTTGGACGTTTTGAACTTGTCATTAAGGTATATGCTTAAAAACACTTCTCAATTCGACTTTGTTTATGATTCTGCTGTTCCTTCTCTTTAACACGATCATATAATGCTGGAAATTTCCGCTGCCAACTAGATGTACCCACAAGGAAGGATGTCTCATCATTTCAGGGAGATGCGTGTTGGTGACCATCTTGCCGTAAAGGGACCTAAGGTACTTATAATTCAGATGTTATGTTTAGTTTATCAAACTTGCAAGTCTATACTTTTCTTGGATCTCAAAATTTTGCTGTTTTATTTCTCAGGGTAGGTTTAAGTATCAACCAGGTCAGTTTAAGGCATTTGGAATGCTTGCTGGAGGTTCAGGCATCACTCCTATGTTCCAAGTACGTCGGATACATTTGCGTTTAATATCGTTGTTGAAGCCAATGTATACGTTTGAAACACGTTTTCATTTTTGTATTTGTGAAGGTCGCTAGAGCAATTCTAGAAAACCCAACAGATAAGACAAAGGTGCACCTCATTTACGCCAATGTCACGTACGAAGACATTCTTTTAAAGGTATAATGCTTCTCACCTGCTGAATCTTATGCGTCAAGAACAAGACTATTTTCAAACACTAAATTTTATGTGAATTAATACTTTTTTTTTCAGGAAGAATTGGATTGTCTTACCGCCAATTACCCTGATCAATTCAAAATCTACTATGTTTTGAACCAGGTTAGCCACAAAATCCAAGTGTTTTTGCTTTCCTCTGATGTAATTACCTAAAGTAAACTCTCCTTGATACCTTTTGTTCTTGGTGGTTTGGTTTATCTTCTGTGACAATGATTAGCCTCCGGAAACATGGGATGGTGGTGTTGGATTTGTATCAAAGGAAATGATTCAGACTCATTGCCCTGCACCAGCATCCGATATTCAGGTAAACCCTCCTCTGTTCTTAATCTTAAACAAACCCGACCATCACGGTTTCTAAATATAATATTGAAAGCATTGTCTTGTAAAAGATGAGTGAAACAGAACAGCAAAATATGTCAATGTCTGAAATAAATCCAAGAATATTGAAGAGAATGAAACATCGACAAAGAAGTAATCTTCTTGAGTGAAGGAACATACAATGGTGTTCTAATCCATGTACGGTTCATATTATGTTGCAGATCCTAAGATGCGGGCCACCGCCAATGAACAAGGCCATGGCTGCAAACCTTGAAGCTCTGGGATACTCTCAGGAAATGCTATTCCAGTTCTAATCTACACCTCTGCGTTTGATTTACTCCACAACGGAACTTATTTATCTGATCAATAATTGTAGGCCAACTATAAAAGAGTTCGTGTCTTCTTAACTGAGGTGAGGGAGTTGTATTTTGTTTTGGAAGTTTCGTAAAACACGTGTCCTTTATATGATGTATTTGTTATCCCAATTGAATTGAAGTTTCAATATATTGGTTTACGAAATTAGTTAGAGACATAGGATTAACGAATACTGCTTTGGTACGTGATAGTGTGAGTGGTGCTGGACATACTGACATAGACCTACCCTATTTGCTTTGGTATGTTGCTATAAAGTTTATAGTATGAACTTTGGCTACTAGCGTATACGTGAATCATCAATCCACTTTTTAAAAAGCATAGCTACAAAAGATGATTGAAATATGTTTGGTAGAATGATTAAACAAATTTTTAATCTTTAAAGACAGCTTTTACAAGTCGGCTTGTTCTTTTCCAAAACTTTTTTATTGTTTGATACATATAATGCTTTATGATTTTTTAGTAGAAGATATTATATGAAGTTGGCAATTACCTTAATATATTTTACATGAAGAAATAATCAAATAATACAAGTTTATTTTCTCTATTTTCTATATTCATCTTTGTAACGTTTTTTTCATGCAGTCATATCCAATCATACTAGTGAATAGTGAGCATTGTGAAATGAGATGCTAAAAGAAAATTTGACATGTAATGAGATACTATAGTTAAATTACGAAATGAAACTATGTAACTGTGAACTGTCAAAAGACATTTATAATGATCGTTCATAAGTCTGAAAAATTGGTTCTATAATCTCATGTTACCAATTAAAATCCTAAATTCTATTGTACATCGCATGACCACGTCAGATAAGATTTAAGATTAGTGTACCTAACCAGAAAGATTCAAGATTATATTATATAAAAGATTCAAGATTATTAATTGTATTGTTTTTTTTTACTAAGCGGCTCGATTGATTCTTTACAATGTTTTTTTGTTTTTCTAGTTTTTTTTTGCTTTTAACAAAAAGAAAGAAGATAGAGACGTTTTTTTTATAACTAAAAAACAAAAAAAAGTTACTTTAGTATTTTATATTTGGATAGAAAAAATTGTATTGTAAAATCCACTTTTGAAGTATTGGTGTACGATGCAGAGTTTGCGTGGTTTGAATAATTTTATAAAAGCAATATTTGTGATTTTATTAAAATAATATACGCCACGGTCCAAAATGAACGAAACGATGAATCCATGACTCATAGTACACTTGTTAAATAATTTGATTTGATTTTTGTTTTTCTTGGGTTATGAATCGAATCATCCAATGATACTCTGACACGTACTTTCTACTTTTCACATTCTGCACTTGTTGAGTTACTACACGCAATTGCCTTTGGCCCCCTCACATGCCACGTCGCGACAATCTAGCGGAATCTTTTTTTTTTTTTCTGCTTTGGTCTTTTCTGAGTCAATCATCAAATACGTATTTCTCATTACACCAAAGTTGTAAAACAATGTATAAATAAAGTTTATATCATAACCAAATATATAGTGACTTATTAACCTATAAATACATCAATTAAAACTTCCCAAAACTGTTTTTGGAAGACAAAAGTGTCAGTGTAATAGGTTCTTTGTTCTTGTAGCTAGAAATTGTTCAAAAAGACAAAGATATTTTGTGTAATTTTGGTAATCAGAGCTTTATAAAAATCAAACTTGTTTTGAGTATATAATGACTATCTTTACGTAAGTGTTTTATTGTACAAGTCATCTTCCACGTTCCACCAACAAAATCCAAAACCCAACAATATTAATAATCATCACCACACCGATTGTTTTTTTCTTCTGTCCAAGCAATAAACGTTTCAACAAATAAAAAAACAAATAAGCACATTGTATCTATCAACCTATGTAAGAAACGTCACTGGTGCATTTGGTTAGTTAATGCCTAATGGATTCATATTTCTACCACGTCTTGAATTCATCTTCTGTCTATAAAAATTTGTACGTCGTCGTTGTAAATTTTGTATGATACATATCTTAATTCTAATATTAAGACATTATAATTAAATATATGGATCGGTATATGAATAATCAGGATACTAAGCTTTTCGTAAAAAAAAAAAAAGGAATTCAAATCTATATCTAAAGCACAAAGCTAGAAGATTGCTGCACTACAAATGCATAATATAAAAGTTAGAAAACATCAATATTTTTCGAGTCTTCATTGGTCAAGCAACAAATATTAAAAAATATAAAGATTGTTCATATGAGATAAAAATAGAAAATGAATGGACATGCTCTTCGTGGAAAGAGACGTGGAAATTTTCCATGAGTTTCTTTCTTTTGTCTTCTTATTTACTTATTGTATATACTTTATTTACTTTTCTTTGTTTTTTTTTGCATTCTCAAAATTTGTTTAATAATTTTGTGGAAAAAAACACACATCCATTGAATAAAGACAACAAGATATTAAGACATGAGACAGTGAAACCTTCTTTCTTAAGCTTCTCTTCTTCTTCTTCTACTTCTTCTTCTTCTTCTTCTACTTCTTCTTTATATATCTCTTTTACCTCTCACTTTCACTCTCTCCATCTTCAAGTAAACACAGTAAGCAAAACAGAGAAAACAAAAAAAAACAGAGAGATACGATGATTTTCGCAAAGGATCTTCCTTCACCTACATCGGTTTTCACAGCTTACGCATCAATGGCAGGTTACATGATGATGATACGATCAATGGCTCACGAGCTTATCCCTGCTCCCATCCAAGATTTCATTTACAGGACTCTCCGGTCTCTCTTCTTCCGTTCTTCTTCCTCCACTCTGACTCTAACCATCGACGACGACAACATGGGCATGAACAACGAGATCTACCGAGCAGCTCAGACTTATCTCTCCACCAAGATCAGTCCCGACGCGGTCAGGCTCAGAATCAGTAAAGGTCATAAGGATAAACATGTCAATTTGTATCTCAGCGACGGAGAGATCGTCAACGATGTGTACCAAGACGTCCAGCTAGTATGGAGGTTTGTTACAGACGGCGGAGACAAGAAAGGCGGCGGCGGAGGAGTAGGAGGAAGAGGCGGAGGAGGAGGGAGAAGAGGCGGTATGGACGATGACGGTAGAAGCGAGTACTTTGAGCTGAGCTTCGACAAGAAACATAAAGACTTGATCTTGAACTCTTACGTTCCTTACATCGAGAGTAAAGCCAAGGAGATAAGAGACGAGAGGAGAATCTTGATGCTGCATTCTCTCAACAGTCTTAGATGGGAATCAGTTATTCTCGAACATCCTTCCACCTTTGAGACAATGGCTATGGAAGATGACCTCAAGCGTGACGTCATCGAGGATCTTGATCGGTTCATAAGAAGGAAAGAGTTCTACAAGAGAGTAGGGAAAGCTTGGAAGAGGGGTTACTTGCTGTACGGACCACCCGGAACCGGGAAGTCTAGTCTGGTTGCAGCCATGGCTAATTACCTCAAGTTTGACGTTTATGATCTTCAGCTAGCCAGTGTGATGCGTGACTCTGATCTGAGGAGGCTTTTACTAGCCACACGTAACCGCTCGATTCTTGTCATAGAAGATATCGATTGCGCAGTGGATTTGCCAAACAGAGTGGAGCAGCCAGTTGATGGCAAGAACCGTGGAGAGTCTCAGGTTAGATTTCTAGTATCTACTATAATTGGTTTTGCTATATGATTGGGCATTACCAAATCGAACCAAACCAAAATCCGTACCAACCAAAATTTAAATATAAATAAACCATTACTTTTTGTTTCCTATACCAAACTTGATCCAGATTTAGTGTAGCAAGACTAGTTAAATCTGACTAGTCCATTTAATATATTTAAATGATTTTTTTTTTTTTTGGTATGAAAATGTGTGTTTAGGGACCATTGACGTTGTCGGGGCTGCTGAATTTCATAGACGGACTATGGTCAAGCTGTGGAGACGAGCGGATTATAATATTCACAACAAACCATAAAGATAGGCTTGACCCGGCATTGCTACGTCCCGGTCGTATGGATATGCACATCTACATGGGACATTGCTCTTTCCAAGGATTCAAGACTTTAGCCTCCAACTATTTGGGTTTGAACGATGCCACAATGCCACACCGTCTCTATCCGGAGATTGAGCGTTTGATCGACGGGGAGGTGATCACGCCGGCACAGGTGGCAGAGGAGCTGATGAAGAGCGAGGATGCTGACGTGGCCCTCGAGGGTCTTGTGACTGTTTTAGGGAAAATGAGGTTGAAATCTGAGGAATCGAATCCGCTGATGATCAACAAGAAGGAGAATCGATTGGAGATGGAAGAGATGAGGTTAAGGCGTGATACAGAGGGTTCTCCGAGGAAGAACAGCAAAAGAATCAAGAAACTTGTTCTGTTTTGGACCTAATCGTGTGTTACATATATGATCCATTAGTTCAAATAAGATTACGAGGGAAACAAAAAAAGAAGTAGACGTAAGAGGCTAATTACAACTCTAAATTAAGTTCAAAAGTTTGGAATTCTCTTTGATGATGATATAAGTTGAGTGTTTTCTTCAGAAATTTCTCATATGTTTATTTTGTAGGGTTGCATATGTGAACCATTAATGTAAGACGCATTAAGATATATGGAACTTTATTTTTTCTTTAAAGAAACTATTGAGATAGTCTTTGGAGGTACTTTACCAAGAACTTTACACAAGGCACATTATTACTCTATCAATATAGAGAGCGGAGATTTCGTCACAGAAACTTTGAGAAGAGCAAAACTTATAATATCTTACTTTATTTATTTTATTTTATTTATATGTGGTGGTAATTAATACTCTAAACCGACTATGCATGTATATATGACAATAAATTAAACTATGTCATTATAGTTAATGAAATTAGTTTATATGATGGCAAAAAAGGGAAATTATTTTCTTATTTTGTCACAAAAAAAAAAATTTACTTTATTAAAAAAGGAAAAAATCTCACAGTACAATTAGATGTATCTATATAATAAACTCAATTGAACCAAAAAGCCCCAAACGCAACAACATTGAAGGGAGTCCAAACCCTAAAGCTCGAAAACGATGGTGTTCTCTAGTTCAGATCTCCCTTCTCCTGCATCAATGTTCTCTACCTATGCATCAGTAGCGGGAACCGTAATGATGATCAAACCAATGATTCAGACGATAATTCCAAAACCAGTGCAGAACTTGGTTGTCTCTTACATCAAATCTTTAGTCGGCTCTCGTTCATCGACTCTCACGCTTGTCATCAATGATATGAACAAGACTGAGACAAACGGGATGAGGAGGCAAAACGAGCTTTATATCGCGGCTCAAGATTATCTCTCAAGCAAGATAAGCCCCGATGCATCAAAGCTAAGGATGACTAGAGACCCTAACAACAAGAACGTCAACTTATACCCAAGCGAAGGAGAGGTTGTCTCCGATGTCTACAAAGGCATTGAGCTCAAGTGGAGGTTTTTAGCTGGAAGCAACAAGGCAAGTATGGTTATAGATGGAGGAGTAGCTGAGGAAACCGTCAATTGGGAATGCTTCGAGCTAAGCTTCGACAAGAAACACAAAGACTTGGTCGTGAAATCATATGTACCTTACGTGGAGAGGAAAGCAACGGTGATCAAGAACGAGAGAAGAATCATCAAGATGCACTCCTACTCTAGCTATACTCTTCGCTGGGAATCTGTCAACTTCGAGCATCCTTCCACATTCGACACAATGGCTATGACGCGTAAGCTCAAGCGTTCTGTGATGGAAGATCTTGATCGGTTCATCAAAAGAAAAGATTACTACAAGAGAGTTGGGAAAGCTTGGAAGAGGGGTTACTTGTTGTACGGGCCACCAGGGACCGGGAAGTCTAGTCTAGTGGCAGCAATAGCTAACCACCTCAAGTTTGATATCTATGATCTCCAGCTCGCAAGCGTGCAAGGGGACGCCGATCTGAGGAGGTTGCTTCTCGCCACTAAAAACAGCTCGATTCTTCTTGTCGAAGATATAGATTGTTCCGTGGATTTGCCTACAAGGTCACAACCTGCAACCACGACCTATGGGGCTCCCAAGGTTTGGTCTTCACATTGGTTTGATGTTATGTCATCTATTTAATTTGTGCAACTATACATGCATGGATCCTAAACAAGTTTTAATTTGTATGAATAGGTATCAACACCATTGACACTATCAGGACTTTTAAACTGCATTGATGGGTTATGGTCTAGTTGCGGAGATGAACGCATAGTAATATTCACGACTAATAACAAGGAGAAGCTCGATCCCGCATTGCTCAGACCAGGCCGTATGGATATGCACATTTACTTGGGACATTGCAGTTTTGAGGGATTTAAAACATTGGCATCTAACTACTTAGGCCTGTCTCAGGACAATGATGACACTCACCGTCTCTACCCGTGCATCAAACGTTTGATTGATGGACAAGTGTTGACTCCAGCTCAAGTGGCCGAGGAACTAATGAAAACTGAAGATGCTGATATGGCGCTTGAGGGTTTGGTTAATGTTCTCAAAAGGAAGAGGTCAGAGTCAGAGAAATGTGATGATGAATCTAAGAAGATGAAGATGCTCGAAGATGATATCTAACATTGAAGAGACCTGAACAATCTAAAGTTTTCACTTGAGAGATTCTTACAAATGATCAGGGTTTCGTACTTCATATCGTTTTTCTAGTTTCGGGTTTTTGGTTTTCAATTCTTCTTTTTTGGTTCATTCATCAAACATTCTAAGGTTATTTTTAAATTTGTACTTTTTCAATTAAAGTAATATAATATGGCTATATTAGTTATCTATCGATTCACAATTTACAATTTGCAACTGCCTAATAGTTTGATGCTCACCCAATGAAAATATATTCATACAAGAAAAATTATAAATTTATGGAATATCAATTATTTATTTATAGAGATTAAAAGGAAGTATTCTTTTGTTTACCACAAAGGAAAAAGAAATATACTAAACCAGAAAAAAATTACATATAGTTAGAAAAAAATAAAAGGAAAACTATCTCCCAATACACACTTATATAAACAAAAATTAATCTAACAAGAATTAAAGCCTCAGACGCAACAACATTGAAAAGGAGAGACCAAAACCCTAATCTCAAAATAAAACGATGGTGGTCTCTAGAGATATCCCTTCTTCAGCATCAATGGTCTCTAGTTACGCATCAATGATGGGATACATCACGATAATCAGACCAATGATTAACACAATCATCCCACGTCCAGTTCAAAACTTCGTCGTCTCTTATCTCAAGTCCTTGGCTGGCTCTCGTTCATCGACTCTCACGCTTACCATCGATCAGTTGTCCTCAATGTATATTCACGACGATCTTTACAACGCTGCTGAGGCTTATCTCTCCACCAAGGTAAGTCCGACTTCGGTCAGGCTAACTATGGCTAGAGACCCAAAGGAGAAGAAAGTCAAGTTATACCTCAGTGACGGAGAGGTTGTCTCCGATGTCTACAATGGTGTTAAACTTAAGTGGAAGTTTTTTGCTAGCAAAAATAAGAATACTATGGTCGATGAGTATGGGAACCGATATCATGGAAACTTCAATAGGGAATATTTCGAGCTGAGCTTCGACAAGAAACACAGAGATTTGGTGGTGAACTCTTACATACCTTACGTGGAGAGCAAGGCAGTGGTAGTTAACAGCAAGCGCAGAATCCTCAAGATGCATTCCAACTTGCATATGTCCTGGAAATCCGTGAACTTGAAGCACCCTTCAACATTCGACACCATGGCTATGAACGAAGATCTTAAGCGCTCTGTGATGGAAGATCTTGACAAGTTCGTCGGAAGAAAAGATTATTACAAGAGAGTTGGAAGGGCTTGGAAGAGGGGTTACTTGCTATACGGTCCACCAGGGACAGGGAAGACCAGTTTAGTGGCAGCTATGGCTAACTACCTTAAATTTGATATCTATGATCTCCAGCTCGCAAGCGTGAAAGGAGACGCCGAACTAAGGAAATTGCTGCTCACCACTATGAACAGCTCGATTCTTCTTGTAGAAGACATAGACTGTTCCGTGGATTTGCCTACAAGGTTGCAACCTGTATACGTAACCAATACAAACAAAGGGCTCAGAAATTTTGGTGCTCCCAAGGTTGGTCTTCATGATGCTTTTAATATGAGTTTTGTGAATCATTTAGTTTTCTTGCAAACGATACATGGGTCGGTCCTAAATTTTTTTATGTGTGAGTAGGTATCAGCACCATTGACGTTATCAGGACTTTTAAATTGCATTGATGGTTTATGGTCGAGTTGTGGAAACGAACGCATAATAGTATTCACGACGAACAACAAGGAGAAACTCGATCCAGCATTGCTCAGACCAGGGCGTATGGATATGCACATTTACATGGGACATTGTAGTTTTGAGGGATTTAAGACATTGGCGTCTAACTATTTAGGCCTGTCTAACGAAAATTATGACACTCACCATCTCTATCCGGACATCAAGCATTTGATTGAAGGACAAGTGGTGACTCCGGCTCAAGTCGCTGAGGAACTAATGAGAAGTGAAGAAGGTGCTGATGCGGCGCTTGAGGGTTTGGTAAATGTTCTCAAGAGAAAGAGGTCAGAGCAAGAGAAGTGTGAAGATGATGAGTCTGCGAAGAAGATGAAGAAACTTGGAGAAGGAGAGAAAAGTATTGCCGACGTTGAGGATACAATGAAAGTGGTGACTCCGGCTCAAGTTGAGGACGGGGAGGAACTAATTGATAGTGAAGATAATGATGATGACCTAGAGGAGGGTTCTATGGAAGAGGATCTTGAGTAGGGTTTCATGGAAGAGGTCACAGTTTTAGAAGATTGTGAATCTGTGAGAAGATGATGAAGAAACTTGAAGATGTAGAGGAAAAGAATCACTCGGCATTGAGCACTGATGAAGTTAGTTTTGCACATGAATTTAATCTATTTTGATATACGGTTTTGAAGCCATACATGGGCACAGTACTCTATCTTTTTTTTGGTCAACAATTTTAATTTATCCTATATTATAATGTCACATAATGACCATTATTATTTTAAGAAACTCCTCAGTACTGTTCAAAGTTCAAACATTCTGTATAATCAAATTTATGATTTTGCGGCTTGGATTTTTTCAATTTATTAGTTTAGAATCTCACTTTGCTTAAAATTTCATTTTCTTGGTCGTCTAGTTTTAATTTCGAAACGAAAAGAAAAACATGAAACATAATCTGTATGTAAACGACAAAGAGAAACAGAGACCTCAAAACTGTTAGCGTGTAAGTAATTTTATATTAAGGAAATATACTAACTACTTCACAAGTCTTTTGTCATCTTCATCAATCTTACTTGATATTAAAGTCTTCATCTCCAAAGTCCTCACCAAACCTTGGAGGGCCATATCAACGTCTAGGCTCTTCATTAGCTCCTCTGCGACTTGACCCGGTGTCACAGCTCGTCCATCAATCAAACGTTTGATATCTGGGTAGAGAGGGTGTGGGCAATCATTGTCATGAGAGAGGCCCAAGTGGTTAGACGCCAACGTTTTGAATCCCTCAAAACAGCAATGTCCCATGTCAATCTTCATATTCATACAACGTAGCGATGTTGGGTCAAGACTCTCCTTGTTATTTGTCTTGAATATCACAACGCGTGCTTTGCCATTCGACCAAAACCGACCTAAGCAATCTAACAGTTGCGATAATGCCATATTCGATCCCTATTGATCACACACACACACACACACAACAAAAAAGCAAAAACATCAATTGAATTAGTTTGTAAATATTCTCTCTACAATAACTTTTAAAAATATATATAATTCTGAAGAAATCAAGAACAGGAGAACATACCTTGATGACAAAAAAGAAAAGAAAAGAGAACATACCTCGAGGGAGCCGTCTATATCATCTACGAGGAGAATCGAGTTGTTCTTGGCTCTGGTGATAAGCATCCTTGGGTCAAAGTAAGTTTTCAACCCTAGAGGGAGGGTTAGTTTATAGACATCTAAGCTGAGATGTTTAGCCATAGCAGCAACAAGACTAGTCTTCCCGGTCCCTGGTGGCCCATGCAACAAGTAATATCTCATCCAGTGTCGCCCGACTTTTTTGTAGAAATCTTCCTTTCCCATGAACCGGTCAAGATCAGCAATGAGGCCACGCTTGAGCTCTTCCTTCATTACAATCGTTTCAAACGTCGAATGGTGATGGAGGCTCTTGATTTCCCAAGTGTCAGAGCAGTGAGAGTATGTGTGCATCTGGAGGACTCTCTTCTCCTTGGCCTTGCTCTTCAAAAAAGGTAGGTAAGAGTCGAAGACCAAATCTCTATGCTCTTCGTCAAACCTCAGCTCGAAGCTTTGCTTATTTCCAGTATTTTTGTTTTCAACGAAAAACCTCCACTTGAGCTCGACCCCTTGGTATATATCGTCCAACTCGTATTTATTGACGTAGATTTTGACCAAGTCAACCTTAGTTTTGTAGGAAAGATAAGCCAGAGTGGCGTCATAGAGGTCGTCTTCCATCCCAAACTTCGTTAGGTAGTCGTCGATGATAACCGTGACATAATTATCACCATGCTCTGTGCCAGTCAGCGAAGGAAAGCCGACAAGATACCGGAGATAGGAGAAGATCAAGTATCGTATCGGACGAGTTATTGCTTTAACCATCGATTTTATCAACTTGAGCATCATGACGGCCGCCGGAGAGAAAGTTGATGTACAAGAAGAAGAAGAGGAGATCTCTAAACAAGAGAAAGAGAATCGTTTAAGGGTTTAGTTTTTATAACATAAACTCTTTATCAAGTATTTTAATATATATATATATATATATATATACTTTATCCGAAAGTATTATTATTTCCTTCTTTCTTTTGTTATATACTAGTGCTGTCAGCCCGTGCGTTGCCGCACGGGTAAATGAAAACTTAAAATAATTAACATTGTTAAATAACTTTTTCGAGTGGAAAATTGATTATAATCTTCTAACTGTATATTTTTATTTAATTTATGAATTTATTTTCTTTATCTTTTCTATATTATGATGTATTAGTTTTGGATACAAAGCTCAACTATTTCTATCATAATACATGTCTCAATCACCAACGAATCATTAGTCTCATAAAACTAATTAGATAACTTTACAAATTCAACCAAATTCAACATAACATTATAGGAACATAAGCAATACCTAAATAAACATCAATGAGAAAGAATATGCTTTAATTTAAGAAAAAAAGTTTTACAATCACAAATTATTGTCAATTAGATTTAAAAGAACATATATTTGGTGTTTTGGTGAGGCATCTAAAGATGGCACGATTTTTCATAGGACAAAGATCAACATGAAGCAACTTCTTATTCTTGTATGCTTCTGTTATATCAATCTTATGCTTTTATCAAAACATGAGCTATAAATTTAAGGGCGATCTTGCTTCAAATTACATTTCACAAATCACAATATATATTAGAATCATATCCAATTGTATCTACAGATAGAAGTCAACTATAAATACCAACAAATATTGTTGTATCAAAACACCAACCTATAATTAATAATAATAAATAAATAAATAAAACACAACAATTTTAAACAATGATTTGTAACTGATTCTTGTAGAAATTTAAAAGTATAATTAAACAATAAAAATTTAGTGAAGTCACTAATCAAACAATAATAAAGGGAGAAGAAATTATAAGTTTAAAAACTTATCAAAATATAAAATAAAATGAGGAAGATGAAACAAAACAAACCAGATGATGTTTGAGTGTAAATCTATGGCCATGTTACTACATTTTATATGAGTTTTATACCTTTTTGAAGTTAAATTAATCAATTAATAGTTTTGTTGCAAATACAGAAATCGATTCAGTGACAAGAAGAGAAAAATGTTAACAAGAGATATGAAAGGTATTCACATAAAGCAAATTTCAAATCATTATTCTATTGAAATTCACAAAAAAGGTAATAAGAGAAGTAGGCTGATAGTCAAAATTAATTACCTAGATCAATGATATGATCAATGCATGTAGAAGATGGAAAACAACACCAAACCGAGGTTGGATAAGGAAATCAATAAATAAATCAGTCATATTTAAACGAAGATGGTTAATCGACGAAGACTAATAAATCGAAAAAACAATATTCAGATTTTTTAAATCTCGGAGGTGTGAAACAATACTCAAAGAAACAAAATATATTTTAAATGTCCATAGAAATCTATATATACAAACAAAGAGGTGTGAAAATAAATAAGTGTGAAAAAATAACAGGTGCGAAAATTTTAAGGTAGGGGTACGACGAATAAACGCAATTGTTGGCTATAAAACTTTGCAGCTTTTGGGATCATTAACAAATATAAACAGTTAGATGACATAACAAAAACAATCTCATCCATTAGATTAAAACGATGATCTCAGCAACCATAGAAAGTGGGTTTGAGCAACTAATTAACGAAGAGATAATAACAATTAATACCTTTAGATGATAATGACTAAGCAAATTTAAAGTCAAATAGGATTGGAAAAACAAAATTTGAAAAAACAATTGTTTCAGGAAAATAACTTTGTAAATGAAATAAAACAAGACAATCAATAATTTTTTTAATAAAATAAAGAGTTGTAGAATATTTATATATGGAACGAAAGGGTGTGACTGTGAAACATTGCGTTGATTAAATTACAAGGGTTTTTATTAAAAGACACATTTTTAAAAAAAGACATATCCTTTTAAAAAGACATATTTTTTGCTTTTATATATTCTGAGATTAAAAATTAACCTTTAGATCAAATGAAAAACAATCTGAACCGTTAGATTCAAAAGATGACATCAGCAGTAAACAAAAAGTGGGTTTGCTATTATATATAGATTCCAGATTTTTCACATATTAAAAAATATTTAAAAATTAATTAAAATTGTATCATTTTTGTGATTCACAATTGGAACTCTAAACCAATAATATTAAACTAGAAGTTGAAAAATACTCAATTTTTTAAATCTTTTAAAGTTTATTTTCCTCTTTCTTTGTGTATATAAAAAAGAGAAATTATTACTAAAATATAAGATAAATATTTTTTAAAAGTTTAAATCTCTATTTTACTTATATATAGTATACCATGAAATAGAAAATTGGTATTTTTATAATTTATAATATTTTTTAAAAAGTTTTACATCCATAATCTATACTTAAAGATAAGACAGAGCGGGAAACACTAAGGTTGACTTGGTCAAAATCTACGTCAACTAGTAATTTTAAATTATTAATCTCCTAAACTTTTGTCAAATATTCATCATTATCAATATTGCTACCATATTTAATTTAAATAAATGCAATTCTATAATTGCCAATTCAATACTAAAGAAAACTATCTCATACAAACATCCTGATAGATAAGTTTTCTTATCACTAAAATAATAAAACTAAGGACATTGCTGTTTTGATGTTAGGCCAGGGCGTATGGATATGCATATTCACATGGACATTGCTGTTTTGATGTATTCAAGACTTTGGCATGTAACTATTTGGGAATGTCTCACGACGACCCTCACCATCTCTACCCGGAAATTAAGCGTTTGATTGATGGAGAAGTGTTGACTCCAGCTCAAGTTGCGGAGGAGCTAATGAAAAATGACGATGCTGATACGGCGCTGGAGGGTTTGGTTAAAGTTCTAAGAAGGAAGAGGTCAAAGTTGGAGAAGTATGATGGTGAGTTTTAAGGAAAAGATGGAAAAACTGGAAGAGAAGGATTAGTGAAACCTGGAATCGTAATTCCTTTTATGAGTTTACAATCTTGATTTAAACAAAGGTTTCTTAAACAAATACTACACAAATATATATAACCTGTTTGTTTATTGAGTCAAGATTTTAAGCTTTAACTAAGTTTTGATAATATGAATAGATGTCCGATTTTAAAAGTCTGTTTAGAATTAGAACTCCATATTTATATAAAATAATATAAGGATTCTAGGATTTAATATAACGCAAAATCAACGAGAAAACGGAAAAGATCTTCCTCAATCCCAATATAAACCTAACTTAGTTGCCGCCAGAAAAAAAAAAAAAAACTAACTGAGCATTTTATAAACGAAACTCGTGTTCCGAATGGGCCTTTATGTATTGGGCCGGCGTACTTAAATGATATAAAAGAGGTCTCGTCTAGTGTTCTTGGAATTTTTAAAATTCAATTTGTAATTTCGTTTATCACAGGAAAATCTAAGAACTCCCTACATACTTCTGTTAAACAACAGCCGTCCGATCAACAGAGTTTGAGAAAACTAAATCCAACGGTTTAAAAGACCAAACAAAACAAAAGAGAAAGAAACTCTTTTCCTCTCTGTCTCTCTCTCTCTCTTCCTTATCTCTCTCCGCCACTCTCTCTCTCTCTCTCCCTTTTTCCCGAACTCTCCAATGGCCGGTCTACTCAAAACGCCGTCTTTACATCTCACACCAACGCTTCTTCATGCTCCCTCTGTACCCTTTAAGCCCTTTTGTGTCTCCTTCGCCGGAGGGAGAAATACCAGCGTCTCACTCTCTCGCCGAGCTTCTCTCCGGTCTGTCTCTAGCGGCTATCCTCTCCGTTTACTGAACCTCGTGCCGTTTGCTTCGGGTGAAGCTGAGACGACGGAGACTGAAGTGGAATCAAACGAACCTGAAGTCCAGGTTTTTCGATTTCGGGCTAACTTCTGTTTTTACTTTTTGGGGTTTTGTTGGTTGAGTGGGTTAGGTTTTAGGGTTCCGAAATTGGGATAGTCATGTACTTAATTAGAATAATATCGTGAATTCTGAGAATTTGGGTATGATGTAGCAGAATTTGCGTTAAAGTTTTAAGCTTTGTTGATTTTGTTGTCCACTTAAGGAACGTTCATATGAATAAATGGAAAGAGTAGGGTTCGTAGTCAGTCTAGTGAGGCATGAAATGGTGATTTTTAATGTTTCTAAGGATACATCAAGTTCGTGAATGCTAGATTTTAGATTATTTGGGCATGATGTATTCCCAAAATGAAGGAGTTTAGTAGTTTAGGACCATGGTATGTACTATCAAAATCGAATTTTACTCAGTGATTCTTGTATTGGGGCCACAGAGAATGTCTTGAATCCTTTTGGTTTTAATCCGATTGTTTAGGTCAATAGATTGTGTTGGTGTTGTTTGTTATGAGATTATGTTTATCAGAAATTGATGTGAAAATGTCTGTATAAAGTAGATTGCTTTCTTCTGATTATTTCTTCCTTCTGAAATCATGGAGTAGGAGACGGATGGTGCTGTTGGTGTTGAGAGTGAAAATGTTGTTGCTGAAGAGGGTGAAGCTGAGGAAGAAGATGCGGCTGTTATCACTGCATTGCTGAATTCGTATAAAGAAGCGTTAGCAGAAAACAACGAGGGGAAGATTGCTGAGATTGAAGCGTCTTTAAAATCTGTAGAAGATGAAAAATTTCTGCTTGCGGATAAAGTAGCGTCTTTATCCAGTGAATTATCTGTGGAGAGGGATCGGCTCATAAGAATTAGTGCAGATTTTGACAACTTCAGGAAGAGGACGGAGAGAGAAAGGCTAAACCTTGTTTCAAATGCTCAAGGAGAGGTTGTTGAGAACCTGTTGGCTGTTTTGGATAATTTCGAGAGAGCTAAATCCCAAATTAAAGTGGAGACTGAGGGAGAAGAGAAAGTCACTAATAGTTACCAGAGCATATACAAACAGT